AGGGCCCTGGGCCAATGGATGGCTGCGGCCAGGACAGCAGCAGTGCCCTGGGCACCTCTGCAGCCCCAGTCCCCGACGAGAAGGAGGAGGAAGAAGGAGGAGCTGGGACAGCTGCCAAGGCAGGCCCTCAGCCGGGGCTCTACAGCTACATCAGGGACGACCTGTTCACTTCAGAGATCTTCAAATTGGAGCTGCAGAACGTGCCACGCCACGCCAGCTTCAGTGATGTCCGACGCTTTCTGGGCCGCTTTGGCCTGCAGCCCCATAAGACCAAGCTCTTCGGCCAACCTCCTTGCGCTTTTGTGACATTCCGCTGCGCCGCTGAGCGGGACAAGGCCTTGCGTGTACTGCACGGTGCCCTCTGGAAGGGCCGCCCCCTCAGCGTGCGCCTGGCCAGGCCCAAGGCCGATCCCATGGCCAGGAAGAGGCAGCGTGAGGAGGAGGGCGAGCCTCCAGCCACGTGCGTGGCTGATGTAGTGACCCCTCTTTGGACGGTGCCCTATGATGAGCAGCTTGACCGGAAGCGGCTGGAGTGTGAACAGGTGCTGCAGAAGCTTGCCAAGTGAGTGTGAACACAGTCACCCCCTCGACCCCGGAGCTCTGTTTAGCTCCATGCTTGGTCAGACCTGCCTGTGCTCTGTACAGACCTCCTGGGCATCTGCACAGACTCTTGGGGAGCTAGCCAGTAAGACCCTGTGCTACCAGTGGGGATAATGAGGTACAAAGTGAGGGTCCTAGGCACCTAGGCGTTTGGAGAGTCGTTGGAGATGGTTTGGGGGCTGAGTCTAACCCTGGTCCCCCCTCACTCTGCAGGGAAATTGGGAACACCAACCGTGCCCTGCTGCCTTGGCTGATCTCGCAGAGGCACAAGCACAACAAAGCCTGCTGCCCCCTGGAGGGGGTCCGGCCATCACCCCAGCAGGTGTAGCCCACAAACCTTTACCCCACGCTCCTAAAGAAAACCGTCCTCACCCACCCCTTGCTTTGCATGTGCTACTCGTGTTGGTCACTAGCCTGCTAGCTGTTGTTGGCCTTGTCCCCTGGATTGCCACACCCGATGGGGGAGCGGGGGCTTCTCACACAGTGCCCTCTCCCACTCGCTGTGGTTCCCTCCGTGAACAAGTGGTGGTGGGCTGCCAGGTTAAGGTCAGCTGTGTCTCTCTGCCTCCCTCTGCTCACCCTGCAGACCGAGTATCGGAACAAGTGTGAGTTTCTGGTGGGCATCGGAGTGGATGGAGAGGACAACACTGTGGGCTGCCGGCTAGGAAAGTACAAGGGCGGGACCTGTGCGGTGGCGGCCCCCTTTGACACTGTGCACATCCCTGAGGCCACCAAGCAGGTGGTGAAGGCCTTTCAAGAGTTTATCCGGTGAGGACTTGCAGCTGGGAGAAGGTTCCGGAATGTTCGGACTTATCGCAGAGCCTGAGTCCTGCTGGGGAAAGGTGGGGGCGAGAGTCCTATGACTGTGGTGGCCTGGTGGGTGTGGCTAAAGGAGAGCAGGAAGGTTGCTTGCCCAGTTCTGGTCAGGAGATGTTGGGGACTCAGGGCTGCTTATGGCTCCTACAGGTCTACTCCGTACTCGGCATACGACCCAGAGACATACTCAGGCCACTGGAAGCAGCTGACCGTGCGCACCAGCCGCCGTGGCCAAGCCATGGCCATTGCCTACTTCCATCCTCAGGTCTCAGGCTGGGTGGCCCTGCTGGGTGAAGGTGTCCCAGCCAGAGTGGGCTGCATGCAACACAGCCTCACGGCCTTTTCTACTGTCTCCTCCAGAAACTGAGCCCCGAGGAGCTGGCAGGGCTGAAGGCCTCCTTAGCGCAGCACTTCACAGCGGGACCAGGCAAGGCCAGCGGGGTGACCTGCCTCTACTTCGTGAAGGAGGGACAGCGGTGAGGAGCCTGGATGGGAGGCTGGGGTGAATCCTTTCGAGGGCTAGCAACACTGACTGGCCTCACCACCCACAGAAAGACACCCAGCCAAGAGGGCCTGCCCTTGGAGCACATAGCTGGGGACCAGTACATCCACGAAGATCTGCTGGGGTTGACCTTCCAGATTTCCCCTCATGCCTTCTTCCAGGTAGCTGAGTGCCCTGGGGATCATACAGACACATGGAGGCCCAATGTGACACCAGGACGTAGTTGGGATAGTGGGCTAGGGTAGGTGACAAGTGTTAGCCTGCACAAGTTTGGGGGAGAGCATTCAGGCGGGGGAGCCGTAAGTGCTGTGAGGTAGTAAATTTCACTAACTAGACCTTTGTGATATAACCCTGCTGGAGAGACACATGTAGGGAGTGGGAGCTGGGTAGTGCCAGGGCTCTGGTGTGAAGTCTTCTGTGCCTGATGCTGATGGGGGAGGGTCCCACACATCCATCACTCAGAAGTTCTTAAGTTAGGGATGTGGGGGGTCAGCATCAAGTTGCTTTTAAAGTCAGGGCCCTGAGTGAGGTTGCCCAACATCTTGTAGATGGAAGAGCAGTTGGACCACTAGGGGTGCTTCAGCAATTAGAGGTGGGGAAAGGTGGGATCAGATGAGTGAGCCAGGGACTGGCCACAGGTCTTAAGAGAGGGGGAGTTCCCCGGGGAATGCAGACACTTGGTGGGGCGCTGCAGGGGGAGGCAAATTTGGGCAGTGGGGCTGCTTTGACATCCTGGGTCGTGCTGGCCCACCTCAAGGTGAACACCCCAGCTGCTGAGGTGCTCTACACAGTCATCCAGGACTGGGCCCAGCTGGATATGGAGAGCACAGTGCTGGACGTGTGCTGTGGCACTGGCACCATCGGCCTGGCCCTGGCCCGGGTGAGCCCTCCCACCCACCTCAGCTGAGGATGCCCTCTCCTCACCCAACCCTCCTGCTATCACCACTTTGTGACCCCCTAGCCTGTCCCAGATCCTCTTCTACTCCCCACAATGCCTCCTGCTACTCTCCACCCCAGGCCCCTGGGGAGGTGCAAGGCACCATCAGCCTGTAACCTCCCCTTGATTCAGAAGGTGAAGAGAGTTGTGGGGATTGAGCTGTGCCAGGAAGCTGTGGAAGATGCCCGGGTGAATGCCAACAACAATGGTGAGAGCCAATGTACCACACAGTGGCAGTCCCCACTGCTATACACTTTAACACCACACCTAGAACCCATTACATGGCTTCTAGGGAGTGGGGGGATGTGGGGACACGTGACAGAAACTGCAGAAGGTACAACAGGGCCCCTAGTGTGCACCCACCCACAAAGCCTGGGGCTGCCTGACAGGGAAGGAGGGTGAGCAAGCTCCCTGGCCAGTGAGTTTTCCTATGGCATCTCTGGTCAGGGGCTTCAGGACACCACAGCGGGCAGCTCAGCGAGCCCTGTGTGGCAGAGCATCCTGGATCCCAACAGGCTTGCTGTACCATCTGCAGAGTTGAGCAATGTCGAGTTCCACTGTGGGAGGGCTGAGGACCTGGTGCCTGCCCTGGTGAGCAAACTGGCCTCCCAGAAGCTTGTTGCCATCCTGGACCCACCCCGTGCCGGCCTGCGTGAGTAGCCTCCATTTGTGGATGGTACCGGGAATGGAGGGCAGTGACGTCTGGGTGATGTCCACATCCATTGGGCTACCCCTTCTTTGAGATGGGAACCTCCCCTTAAGGAGTCTGCCTCCTCAGATTCCAAAGTGATCCTGGCCATCCGCAGAGCTGAGAACCTCAAGAGGCTCCTGTACGTCTCCTGCAACCCCCGCGCGGCCATAGGCAACTTTGTAGAGTGAGTTTAAGGTGGGGGCTTGGGGTGGAATAGGGCCAGCACCCAGCCCTACGCCTCCCACAGGAGCCCAGCCATGTGACTGACCTGGACTATTCCCTTCCCACCATAGCCTCTGCAGAGCCCCATCTAATCGGGTGAAGGGCACCCCCTTCCGGCCAGTCAAAGCTGTGGCTGTGGACCTGTTCCCGCAGACCCCGCATTGCGAGATGCTCATCTTGTTCGAGAGGGTGGAGCACCCCAATGGCACAGAGACCCTGGAGCCCCAGGACCCACCAGCTCAGCACTCACCTGGGCCCCCAGATGACACCCAGCAGGAATCTGGGTCCTCCCCTCCTTCCTAGGCCCTGGAGCAGTGGAAACCAGCCTTTCCAGAACAAGTCTAGTCGGCTTCACGGGCAGAAACCAAGTAGCTCCTCAAATCCTTGCCTCACCCCAAAACACTGAGGTAGTACTACCAACAGGACATTAAGACCCAGCTGTCCTGCCCAGGGCCTTCCCGTTACTGTGGGTTATAGGCTCTTGCACCCTGCACACAGGTACACACACACTCATTCTTTTTGGACCACAAGGGCCAGAATAAACAACTGCTAAACTACTGATGTTTCTGTGATGAGAAACCAAGGCCAAGTGTGTGTGTAGGGGGTTGTCGGGGTGTACAACACAGGGCAAGGGGCTGGCCTTGCCTGTCTAGCCCCCACTTTCCCTGCACCAAAGGGAGGACCGTCAATTTTGTTCCACCCCCAACTGAACCCTGAAGAAGGAAGCTGGACTGGGATGCTGTTTGGCTACTATGGGGAGCAGCTGTGTCCAGGCAAAAGCCCTAGGCTCACTGGGGTTTGCTCCAGAGAGGTTCTGGCAAACTGAGGGTCCACAAGACCCCCTAGTCTTCCACAGCTAGAAAAAAACACCAGTCAGAACCTTTTGGACAGGTTTGTTTTATGTGTCCAAACAATCAAGGCTCGCTGTTACAGCCATGGATCAGCCACCATCTGGGACATACATGACGCACAGAGGTGGCATCAGATCAGCAGAGGCTCTCCTTGCCCTCTACCCCCACAGCACAGCTGTGTGCACACCACACGCACACCACACATGGGACAGGAAGGATATGGTGGGGCCACAGAGGCTCACCCACTTCTAGTAACACGTGCACAAAGCTTTGGTTCATAATGGCGCATCTGGCTGTTTTAAGGGCAAACCGTCAGTCAATTATTCATTGCTGCAGACAGGAAGCAAGACAGAAGCAAGTGCATAATTACAGCAATTTGATTTGAGGACTCTGTTTTATAAAGGTCAACACAGAAGCTAACCTTGGTCACATGGGTGCTGAGGGAGGGATACACTGGGTGGCCTACAAGGCCAACATTGTCTTCCCGGAAGCAGACACCACCAATTGTCTTCCTGGAAACAAAACACCATCCACAGGGGATGTGGTGGACAGGCACACCCAAAGAACATAACAATGCAACCCAGCACTGGGCTCCTGTATCTGGCAGTGCACCATGAGCATGTGGCACCCTGAAGAGGTGCTGGGAACAGGAAACCAAAGGCTAACCACCACTACCTTACATGTGGGGGACAACCAAGGGCCCCCGCACCCTCTGGGACTCAGAGCAGGGTCACATCTAACCCTGCACCTGTCCACAGGGGCCACCTGGAGAGCACAGGCTGCTGGTCAGAGGAGTGAGCTGGTTACCAGACCTGGCTGCACAGGGCAGCTGCCTTTGAAATCCAGTGAAGCTACCATCCATGTGCTTGCACCAAATCTGGAGAGGAGTGCCAGTTTGTGATCAAGAATGGATTGCACTACGGGTCCTTGTTCCCTCTTCTTAAATAAACCCACGTGCTAAAATTCATTAATTGTTTATATCTGCTACATGATTCCAAATCTATCTTCTACACACTGTAAAAGTTTCTTTCCAAATGCTAAAATATCATAAAAGCTTTAAAAACTGAAGAGTGGATAGAGAGATTTGACTGTGCAAAAATCTTTAGTAAAAAGTTGCTAAAGGCCAGTGAAGGTAACCAGCCTAGGTGTGTTTTTAGGGCATTAAGACTTACTCAGAAGGCCCTGGCCGGTGGATAGCTCAGTTTGTCAGAGCATCGTCCTGATATGATATGCCAAGTTTGCGGGTTTGATCCCTGGTCAGGGCACATACATGAATCAACTAATAAATGCATAAATAAGTGGAACAACAAATTGATTGCTTTTCTCTCTCTCAAATCAATAAAAAAAAAAACTAATTTTTTAAAAAGACTTCGAAAAATGGATCACAACCCAGCTCAGGGCTTGGGAAACAAGCCAGGCAGAAACACACTGGCTGAAAAATAATCACCTTGATTTGCCTGCAATCTCTGAAAAATAGTTCTGATGCTAAAATTGTGTTTATTTTAAACCTAAAAGGTCTGAAATACTCATTCCTGTTACATTTTCAGGGGAAAAAAGGGGAAAACACAGGAGGCAGGAAAGGGGATGGTGTGCCAGCATGCGCCTTCTGACCAGGTTCCTGCAGTGGCCTGCAGGAGCCCTAGACACAGGGCGCCATAGCACTTGGCCATCACTTCTCATTTCATCTGTGATCCAACTATCATTTCTTGTCAGTGCATGTTACATACTAAAATTCATGAAAATCTTCATAAAACCAGTCTGCAGCAAATCCGTAAAAGCATAGGTCATCTCCAAGCTCAGCTTCCACCTGCACGGGCAGGCTGAGCTGATGCTTGAACACGTCCACTCAGACCTGTGGGTGGCCCACAAGGAAATGGTATAGTAGAATGTGGCCCTGGCTGTCCCCATACACTGGAGCCCCACCCCTCTGGCCCCAGCCTCAGACATGTGGCTGCAGGGGAGGAACTTAGATTGGAGATGAGAGGCTGCAGAGTGAGCGGTGCATGGTCTCCTGGCACAGAGCTGGCAGCCCCCATGCCCGGTCCACCACCTCCTCACACGTCCACAGTGCACAGGGGCTCGCCACCAGGCTGAGCAGATGCCACAATAGACATCTTGGGCTTCTTCCGCGTCTCCTCCTAGAAAAACAATGAAGGTCAGGGATGCCAGTGAGGTGGGAACATGTTGCAGCCCAGCTTCAGGCAAGAGGCTCCAGAGGGAGATGGGTGGGTGGGGGGTGAGCCCAGCAGACTGGTGCCAGGCAGCCTCTGGAGTAGGAGGGCCCCCGTGCTTTGCAATTTCAGGCTGGAAAGAATAAAGGCCTGAGGAGTGGGCCAGGCAGGGGCCTGGATGGGAGGATAACCCTGGACACCATCAGAGTACATGATTCCCTGGGTATCAGGACAGTCAATAATGAAGAGCCAAGGAGGTTACAGCCACCAGGGATACGCCCCTAGTGGGTCTCTCTCCTCACCCCTACCTGAGGGCAGCAGCGAGGCATCCCCTGGACCCAAAAAGTCCACAAAGACAACAGACACCTACTTCAGGGTTTATACAGGCCCAGGCTGATACCACAGCTGAAAAGATCCGAGACCAGAGGCTCCCTGAATGGGTGGTTTTAGAAACGGCATGGGGACTGAGCCCTACCTGCATTCAACCGTTCTGTGAACCACACTCCTTCCTCAGAACTGCTGAGGACTCTAAGAGGAAAAGGTCCAGGATGGCAGTCTGTCACCCACAAGGACCCAGAGTGTGTGTGTGTGGGGGGGCGCGCACGCAAGGGGCAGAGTGCTAGCCAGTGCACTCCCCTGCCCTCAAACAGCCAGCACTAAAAGTCAGTGCATAAGAGGCCGGGCCCTTCACAAGCACTATCAAGCTAGAGCTGCCAGCTCTCTAATTTAATTATATAAAATAGGGACTTAGCATAAGTATCACGAATGCTAAAGCTCAAGGAAAAGCAAATCTAATCTGGATGGCTTTTCAGGTGCCTGGGCACTGCCAGGGTATCAGAAGCCAGTGATGGGTTACTATGGGACAGCTTCCCCCGCCCCCCAGCTGCCATAGTGTGACACAGCTTGGTACCCTCCCCTGCCTTGGGGGCAAGGGGATGGAGGAGCCATGGCCTGTGCTCACCCTCTCCTCGGCCAGCCTCTTCATCTCCTCCTGCAGCTTGCTTAGGATGTGCAGGTTCGGCTTGTTCTTCTTGGCATACTGCTGCAGCTCGATCACACTCTTGTCTGAGGTCTCCTAAGGAGCACAGTGCCTCCATCTCAGGTCTGCCCTGGACCCCACACCAGCTGCCCCACCCTCAACCTGTGCAGAGAACATTATGCTGCCCCCACTGCCCCATCCTCAGTGGACAGAAAGCCACAACCTGCTCTGGGACAAAAGCACCCAGGTACCCAGCTGTTTCCAGTCCTATCCAGACCCAAGGAAGCTAGCCACTGCCTTAGATACAGTAGTCAGCCAGGCTTGCTGTGCCCAGAGCCCTCTGACTGAAGTGGTACCTAGGCTGGGAGGCCATCAGCCCCAGCCACTGAGCTCTCTGCATGCTCTAAACCAGGGGTGGGCAAACTTTTTGACTCGAGGGCCACAATGGGTTCTTAAACTGGACCGGAGGGCCGGAACAAAAGTATGGATGGAGTGTTTGTGTGAACTAATATAAATTCAAAGTAAACATCATTACATAAAAGGGTACAGTCTTTTTTTTCAATAGTTTTATTCATTTCAAACGGGCCGGATCCGGGGGCTGTAGTTTGCCCACAGCTGCTCTAGACTCTCAGTGTAAGATCCAACTGTCCTAAGGCCCTCCATCTCTCAGGACAACTACTGTATTTGGGGTGCCAGACCCCACCTGTCTTCCAAAAGCCGCATGCTGGGCTGTTCCCAGGCTTGACCCCTCGCCCTCCAGCTTAGGAAAGGTTCCCACCCATGGGCCAAAGTGGGCTTTCTCTCCTTCAACCTTAGCCCGAGAGGGTACACAGAAGGCAAGCATATATAAAAGGCAAGGTAAGTTTCATGTGCATTGCATCCAAGTTTTCTCAAAAACACATATCCTGAGGTTCCTCTAAGGAAGTTGGGGACCTGTCACTTCCTTCATCCCACCTATCATGCCCAAAGCAAGAGCATCTTCAGGGATGGTCTGAGGGTCTACTGTGTGATCTTTGGAGTTACCACCTGTAGTTCCCCAACTGTACACTGATCATCCCTCTACTTACTGGGGTGCTGATAACCCAGTGCGTTTTCTATAAACATCAGGGGGGGAATTAAAAATGTAAACACTCACCTCCTAGTACTTCCCTCCACCCAACAAAGCATCTGTCATCCAACTATCTGCGATCTACCTAAAGGTATTGGTTTAAATCTCAAGATCTTGGCAAAAGTAGCAGAAACAAAACAAATGACACACAGGCTGTTGAATTAATTAAAGCTCAGTAACTGTGTTCATAGCCAAGAGAGCTGCCCTTGCATGCTCACTCTCCCTCAGCCACTGTGTGGCCTCAAAATAGCATAAGGCCTCCCATCACTGGACTAAGGTCTCGGGGCTGGCAGCACTCACCATCTGCACTTCTGCTGCTCCAGTCCCTTCCCTACACTGCCAGAGCCAGGCCCAGGTCCCTTGGGCAGGATGACCCCACCCCAACAAAGTCACAGAAATAGCCCAGCAGAGAACCCAAGAAAGGTGGCCATGAACAAGAGCAGAGTTGCGTGACTCTATCCCTGTGACAGTGCGACCCCAAGCATATACTCCAAGGTTGGGAGGAGAGTCCCATTACCTGTTTGACCATCTTGCTGCTTTCACGGCCATACATGCGTAGTAAAGACCCCCAGTTCTTGACATGTGGGTGCAGGAGCTGAAGGATTTTCTGAGAGGCTAACTGCTTCCCAACTCTCTTATTTTTACCTGTGAAGAGGGGAAGGATACACAGAGAGGGAGTCACAAATATCCAGCTATCCAAAACAGTCACCTTGCCTAAAAAGGAGCTCATCTGCCCCTCCCCCCTCGAGCTGAGGGCACATTCTACAGGAAGCAGGTGAGAAGTGCTCCACCACCAAGCTGAGCACAAGCACCTCACAAATTCCAGACCAGGACCCACCCCTATCTCACTTCACAGAACAGCCCATCAGAGGCTCTAGGAGGTCAGGACATGATCAAGTCACACAGCTTAAGGGCCCTTCCTCCCACCACAACCCCATACTTCCAGACACACTGTCAAGCAGCAATGAGGTGTCATGAAGCATGTGGCCTCAGGTTCCTTGGAGGAGGCACAGGAGGAGGGTTTTCCCAGAAGGCCCAGGCCACCACACTTTCAGACAGGGCTTCCCAGCTTGGAGGAGAGAATTCTGGCACCAGGATCCCTCTTCTATTTCAAGCTCCGCCCACCTGCTTAGGAGCACTTCTCAGTGGGACTGGTGTCTGCTAGAGTGCGAGGCACACCAGGTCTCAACGTGGTTCTGAATTTTCCCAGGGTCAACTTGTGCACTACCTTCTAATTTATACAGCATTGGTTTTGTGTATATCGTAGTAACAAAAATTTTTCTTTTAAAATAAAGTTATATTTTAAAAGGCCGTCATTTCAAAACTCACATTAGGTAAAGAGCACAGGTAGTGCACACAGACCAGAGGCAGAGGGGCAGCACAGGAATGCAGAGCATAGCGGGGTGGAGACTGCTGCTGTTTGAGCAGCATCGACCACAAGGACCAAGAACTGTAGGGGGCAGAGATGGCAGGAGGGGCACACATGGCCTAACCAGAATGAGCAGTCCTAGCCCAGGGGAGAGAAGACAGAGACAGCACAGACAGGACTACCAAAGTCGAGCCTCAGGCTGACTGTGTTTCAGATGTTGACGTGAGATGCTGGTGGACAAAACTGTAGGGAGCCAGTGCACACAGCTGGAGCTCAGGAGCAACAGCAGGCAGTGACTGGGAACCAAGGCAAAGGGGCTCAAAACTCCCAGAGAGACCCCAGGATGGGGTGGCAGCAAAGCAACATCCCCCAGTGGTCATCTGCCAGCATGGTGGGTGGCAAGGAGGAGGAGATGGGGTCCTTACACCAGCCGCGCACTGTGTGCTTGCCGCACGCCATGACATATTCACTCTTCTGGTTTTTACCAGGAACCACTTCAAACTTGATGGATGTGTCACCCATCCCATGGTTTCTAAGAAAAAAACAAAGACAACAGGTGGCATCTGCTGAGGAGGAGGAAACAGCTACTTCCAGAAAGTTAAGGGCTCTCTCAAGACAATGCCAACCCTTTCCCCAAAACTGCTTCTCAGCTGGAGGGTGAGGTTCTCCAGGTACACCCAACCTGATCCCATGGGGCTCTCTGATGGACCGCCAGGGAACACTTGCAATGGCTCTCGGGCTTTAGCATTGCCTCTTGAGTCAGGATCAACAGCCAGTAAGGATGTTGGGCACCCAGATAGAAGCCCCCAACCAGGCTTAGGACGGGAAGCTCCCACCCTACCTTTTAAGGCACTCGTGGAGGATCTGATAGGGAGACAACAGTCCGGCCTTGCTGGTCAACTCGTAGACCCGCGAGTCCTCGATACTGATGTGGTTAAAATACTACAAAACAAAGCAGCCACTCCTAAGTACTGGCCTGGCAGAGCTGCTCCCCATGCTGTCTGCTTCCCCCAGAGGCTTACTGTCCTCCTTATTGCTTCACAGAGCACCTCACACCCCCCACTTCCCTGTCCAGCTGGCCCTCTGGAGACAAGGATGAGTAGCTGCACTACACCAGGCTAGAGACAGGGCATGGATGGGGTGGGAGACCTTGGTACAGTGAGGACCTGGGCTGCCTAGCTAGCCAGCCCGGATAGCCTTTTCTGAACCTGAATCTTCAGACTTCACATAGTCTGAAATCTAAGGATAAATAACCTTTGGAGAAAAACTTGAACATCATAAGTGAGATTACAGAACAGAGAAGGTAAGCAAAGCAAAAGCTGCACTCTAATTCTCCCCAAAGGCTACAAAGTGCCTGGTCGGGCTCTAGTCTTAAACACAAATGTTGTCCTGGATTTAAAAGTGATCACTGCGACCAAAGAATAGAAAGGTTAACAAGAAACCACTTAACCCGTCAGGGAAAAAAAGGGAAACTCTGCACAAAAGAGACAGGAGCCGCCCCCGGGTGAATGGATGCCAGTCAGGAGCGAGGTTCACCTCCCCAGGAGGGGCTGCCATAACAAAGTACCACAAACTGGGTGGCTTAAAACAACAGAAATTAATTTTCTCTCACTTCTGGAGGCCAGAAGTCAAGGTGTCAGCAGGGTCCTGCTCCTTCTGAAGCCTCCCAAGGAAGAGCCTTCCTTGACTTTTCCAACTTCTGGTGGCTTGTGGAAGCCTAACTCCCATCTCCACGTGGCGTTCTCTCTATCTCCCTCCCCTCTGCTCTGAGCAGGGAGGTGGGGCTCCTCTACCTCCACCTGCTTCAGTGAGGAGACAGGCTCACTATGACTGCGTGGAGGAAAGGAAGGCACTGTTTCTGAAAAGTACTGTTGATTCTGTGAACAGGAAATCCTCTTGCTATCACCTAGTTATTTGTTTTCTCACAGGTTCCCACAAGACGCCTCCATCTCAAGCGCCCATATCATTGTGGATCAATTTCCAGGAAAAGTTACTTATCAAGACGTAAGGCTCTGGGCCCATCCTTAATGGCTGGTCAGGCAGCCAACACATCAGCAATGTCTGGTTTTCTCATTCAGCCTGTGAGGACTAACTTTCTAACCAGTAGTCGGCACCTGGGCTGTGGACCTGTAATGAGGCTGAGCAGGTGGATAACTTATGAACCCTACAGCTCCAGGTTCCTCCCTGACAGAGCTAAAGCCAACACACACACATGCCCACTCTCAGAAGCCCCAAAATACCCAACAGCCTCTGCCAAAGGTCAACACCACAATTACCAAGTAGCCATGGCCACATGTTACTGATGGTTAAGCTGCCAGGGGAGTGTAGGTACTCCAACTCTAGAGAGCAAAGGCAAAGGGCAGAAGTGACCACTGAGAACAGCAAGAGCCCAGGTGACTGGCCCAACAGACAGTGAAGAAACACCACAGAGAACCCAAGACCCATAAATTTAAAAATTTAGATAAAACAGACCAATCCCTAAAAAATGCAAACTACCTGCATTGCCCTATTCCAGTTATTTTTAACCTTTTTCATCTCATGGAATACATAAACTAATGACTAAAATTCTGCGGCACTCCAAAAGTATATTTTTTGCCTAATTAAAAAAAAAAAGTATGATTTTAATTCATTCACACTAGAGGGTTATTGTGTGGCTGTTGTCATTTTTTATTTGACAATCTAAGGGAAAAGAAGTCAGTGCCCCTAACTAGTCAGGTACTGCATGTTTTAAAAATTCTTGCAGCATACTGTTTTAAAATTGCTGCCCTAAAAAAAGAAAGAAAGAAAGAAAGAAGAAAGAAAGAAAATTGCTTCCCTATTCTATTCCAGAAATTAAATTTGTAGCTAAAAACTTTTCCTTGAAGAAAACTCCAGGTGCAGATGGCTTCAGTAGTGATGACTACCAAACATTTAAGAGGAAGAAATGACACTGATTCTATAGAGATTCTTTCAAAAAATCTGAAGAGGAGGGAACAACTGCCAACTCACTTTATGATGCTGAGCAGTAGTACCCTGATATTAACACCAGACCATGGATGTACAAGAAAATAACAAACTAAAATCCCTCACAAACCAGGTATAAAAATCCTAAACAGTATTAGCAAATTGAAACCATTAACATAAAAAAATTTCTATCACACCCAAGTAGAACTTATCATAGGAATGAATTTTTAAATTTTAATTCTCACCCAAGGACACACTTTTTCCTTTGATTCTAGAGAGAGAGGAAGAGAAGAACAACAATCGACTGCCTCCCTAATGCATCCCAACAAGATCGAACCTGAAACCTGGATATGTGACCTGACAGGGAATCAAACCTGCAGCCCCTTGGTGCATGGGACAATGCTCCAACCAACTGAGCCACACCAGCCAGGGCCCAGAAATGCATTTTTAAAAAATCAATCAACATAATTCACTATATTAGTATTAACAAAGAAGAACCTTATGATAATGTTAACAGATACAGAAAGGGCATTTGACAAAAATCCAACACCCTTTCATGATAAAACACTCAACAAAGAAGAAATAGAAGAGACTTTCCTTGATCTGATGAAATGACCTGACAGCTAACATCATACTCACTGGCAAGAGTTGCTAGATTCTTCTCCCAATTATCAGGTACAAGACAAGGATGTCCACCCTCCCTACTGCTACTCAGCACTGTACTCAAGATTATAGCCAAAATAATAAGGCAAGAAAAAGAAATACCAATGAATTACATAACCTACATCAAATTGAAAAATTTCCAGAAAGATACAATATCCCAAACTAGCTCAAGAAGGAATAAAAAATCTGAATAGATGTATAACAAGTAAAAAGATTGAACTAGTAATTAAATAACTTCAAAGAAAAGTCTAGGCCAGGGGTGGGCAAACTTTTTGACTCGAGGGCCACAGTGGGTTCTTAAACTGGACCGGAGGGCCGGAACAAAATCATGGATGGAGTGTTTGTGTGAACTAATATAAATTCAAAGTAAACATCATTACATAAAAGGGTACGGTCTTTTTTTTTTTTAGTTTTATTCATTTCAAATGGGCCAGATCCGGCCCACGGGCCATAGTTTGCCCACGGCTGCTCTAGGCCCTAGTGGTTTCACAGGTGAATTCTATCAAATGTTTAAAAAATTAATACCGGTCCTTCACAAACTATTCCACAAAATGGAAGAGGAACACTTTCCAACTCATTCTTTTAGGCCAGTATTACCCCATACCAATACTAGACAAAAACATACAAGAAAACTACAGATCAGTATCCCTTCTAAATAAATAGAGCTACAAAAAGTTCTCAATAAAATACTAGCAGCCAAATCCAGCAATACATAAAAATAATTATACATTGCCCTGTCTCCACTTCCCTTCTAATTGCTCTAAAAAATAAATAAATAAATAAATAAATAAATAAATAAATGGGAAAAAATATCCTCAGGGGAGGATTAACAACAAAAAAAGAGAAAAAAAAGATACATCATGACCAGTGGGATTTATCCCAGGAATGCAAAGTTAGTTTAACATTCAAAAATCAGCCCAGCCAGAGTGGCTCAGTTGGATGAACACTGTCCTGTGCAACAAAAGGTTGCCAGTTTAATCCCCTGTTGGGGAATGTATGGATGTTTAAAAATAAATAACAAATTATCACAGCTTAAAAAAAAAAACATTCAAAAATCAATGTAATATATCACCATATTAGTAAAGTAAAAGACAAAACACACACAATCATCTTATTAGATACAGAAAAACTATCTGAGAAAATCCAACATCTATTCCTGGCAAAAACTCTTAGCAAACCAGGAGTAGAAGTCAACATTCTCAATCTAATAAGATCCACAAATAACACAACATGTTAAGTGAAAGAAGCCAGTCACAAAGGACCGCATATGTGATTTCATTCCTATGAAATGTCCAGAATTGGCAAATCCAGAGATAGCAACTGGCAAATCCAGAGACAGCAAGTACATTAGTGGCTTCTAATTAGTGTTGAGGGCTAGTGAATGGGGAGAATTGGGAATTATTGCTAAAAATTTTTAAGGTTAGATTGTTGTGATGATTATATACAAATATCCACTGAACTTTAAAAGGATAAAATTCATGGCATATAAATTATATATCAATAAAGCTTTTAGTTAAAAAGACTAAAAGCTTTATTGATATATAATCTTTCAAACTCTTCAGAGTTTGAAAAGCCCTTGTTAGAAATCATAGAAACAGATTTACCCCAAAAAAGTTCACAAGTAGTTTTAAATGGTTCCTAATATAAGACTAATTTAACTTTTGTAGACCCTGCCTCAAAGGTTCATTCCCACCACAGATCTACTATAAGGAGAGAGCTGATTTCCTTCTAAATACATTTATTGCTCACAAGCAACTTCTTGACACCAATTACAAGACACAGGGGACAAAAATGACATTTCTTTCCTGTGCTTGCACAAAGATAAGCAAGTTTCCCCTTTTATAAAATATGAACAAACAATATCACCTTGAATGATTAAATCACTGAGCACACCCTGCACTGGCAGGGCAGGCTGAGCTGAGAATTGCAGTTCCAAACAGGGCAGTCATGACACTCACCTCCAGCTCTTCACTGTCTTTGGGCTTCTCCTCAGAAGTCTGTTTAACAAAATCAGGGATGAGGATTTCCAGCGTAGCTCGAGCTAGGAAAAGAAAAATCTTGAGGATGAGGATTTAGGCCCAGCCAGCTTTCCAACTGCAGAGCAAGCTACACACTGGCTCCTCGGCAGGACCAGGGACCCCATGACTCAGGGGAGCAAGGGCCTTAGGGAGCAGCAGTACTTTTAGAGGCAGAGACAGCAGAGGATGGAAAGAGCACATCCTAAGAAAAGGAGGCAGTGACAGAGGCAATCGGCCCTGAGGCACTTGTAGCAGGTTAGGGAGAGGAGATGTGCATGTCAGAGGATTCACGTGACATGCAGACAAATGGCTCAGCAGAACCTGGACCAAGTAGGGAGAACTGCAAACTGAGTAAGCTACATGTGTGTGGCAGGGAGAAGCAGCCAGATCAGATGGATTATCTGGAAAAACAGCTGCAGGACAGAGCACAGGGATGACTCCATGTTGAGCACAGGTGTCCAAGTGAGCAAGGGTGCCACTCACCAATGGCATGGGGACGTGGGGCACTGAGGGAGCGGGGAGGGATGTGTGACAGCCTGGCCCTGTACGGTTATAGTACCAGCAAGACATCCAAGTGGAGGTGTCTAAAGATAAGCTAGAGTCTGGGCAGAAAAAGTGGGTCCCTGCTCGTGGGAGGAGTGCAGCAGGGTCCTGTCACCAGAATGTCTCCATCCCCATGCTGGGCCTGCTCTATGTTAACGGCTCCATGACTTCAGTAACACCCAGCCTGTTGAGCTGAAAAAGTCTTTGGGGCCCGGTCGGTATAGCTCAGAGTTTGAGCATCAACCCAAGAACTAAGAGGTCACCAGTTCAATTCCCAGTCAGGGCACACACCCAGGTTGTGGGCTCAATCCCCAGTAGGGGGCATGCAGGAAGCAGCTGATTGATGATGTTCCTCTCTCATAGATGTTTCTATCTGTATATCCCTCTCCCTTCCTCTCTCTCTAAAAGCCAATAAAAACATTTTTTTTTTTAAAGAAAAAGTCATCCTAGCCAGCTTGGATCAGTGGATAGAGCGTGGGCCTGTGGACCCAAGGGTCCGGGTTAGATTCCGGTCAAGGGCACGTACCTAGTCGCAGGCTTTCTCCCCAGCCCAGGCCCTGGTCAGGTGGCCCTGTGGTCCACTGCTAAGAAGAGGCCAAATAGCCCTGAGCTGGGGCAAATGGCTTCTGGAAAAAAATGCTCGTGCAGGAGGCAACCAATCCATGTGTTTCTCTCACATGGATATTTCTCTCTGTCTTCCCGTCTTTCTTCTATTCTCTCTAAAAATCAATGGAAAAAAATCCTTGGGTGAGGATTTAAAAAAAAGTCTTCTGACAGAATTTCTCAAAAATGGGCAATAGGCCTTCCTAGAGAACGGGGCGCACTGGATGAGCCCAGCACAGCCTCACAGAGGAAGGACAGACAGTAATGTATTATTCCAATTGTATTCAGCATACACCATCGAAAGAAAGCAACACCGAGGGAAACGCTAAGTCCCATGGGCAAAAACACTTAAACTGAGCCGAGACCTAGTGAGATTTGAACAACACTGACATATTTCACACTCTGTGAAGGGCAGAGCCGCTCTGGAAGACGATGGGAATAGTAGAAACCTCACGAATCAGCCTATGGGTACCAGAGTCTGGGGTGCACCCAACACCTACCCTGCAATGTGGTCCACTCCTAAGAAGAGGCCAAATAGCCCTGAGCTAGGGCAAATGGCTTCTGGAAAAAAATGCCAACTACTAGTGCTGAGCATAAAAGTGAACAGCAAATACACGGTCAAAAAGAGCAATGGGTTTTAACCAGAAAACATAAGCTTTCCCCCGGATCTGCTGTGTTCAATGAGTGGCAGTCCCAAATGTGCAGTTTGAAGGACTCAGGAAATCGTCCTCACAAATGTCAAAACCACTCAAAGAGAATGCCAATAGCATGCTGACTCACCTGTTTTTCATCTCCTAGCATGCCCACATTTTGCTCCGTTTAAATACAAACCCACTCTACAACATGTGCCTAGTGCAGCCCAGTCAGCTCTGTGAGTAGGGAGGAAAGGGTGGGAGATTTCAGCCTGGCTGCCAATGAGTTAAGAAGGAACTTTCTACTTTTATTTCTCAGGCTTTACTTTCTATATCTGAATCTTTCCCAATGAACAAATAATTTTTAAAAATCAAATAGACAATTACAGAAATAAAATGGATTCTCCCCAACCACACCACTCCCACTCCTGCTGCTCAGCCCTCCCCAACCAAGAGGAGGGACAAACACAGTGGGTAGTATGGGGCTCTGACATCTAAGCAGGCACATTACCAGCTTTATTCTTCGCAAGTTTTTTGCTGCTTGCAGTTCCAGATCCATAGGTCACACCATCAATGGTCACCGAGGCGCCAAAAGGCTCACTTGGGTTCTCTTAAAATTAAAATTACTGTTTTAAAACACACTTGCCAAGACATTAGAAGCCAGTGTGCACACTCAAGCGCACGCACACACACACACACACAATCTGCTCACACCAGCAGACAAGGTGGGGCCAAGACTGCTGCTGGAAGACAGAGACCTGAGACTCCCTGAGGCATTGAGATGGGGCTGACATGGTCAGCAGGCAGAGAACACACCCGGAAAATTTCAAGAAAGGGGGACCATGTGATAGTGAGCTGAAGGTTAGAGGCAGAACCACCAGGAACAGGGACCAATGTCTGTGAAAGACGGACAGAGTACAGAGAGGGGCAGGGATGCACAGATGTAGTGAGCCAAAGAAACATGAAAAGCAATGAGTAATTCCTAGGTTCTGGCTTCCAACAGGAAGAAAAATTGGTTTTCAAGGATGTGACAAGGATGGACAGGAGACAATTGATGGGAAGGGCAGGCCTGAAGCTCCTTCATCCACCTGGGGGAGCCTGGAGACAATGGGAGGCCTTCCTCAGAGCAAGGAACAAAGGAAGATGAAGGAGGGTGGAGTGTGAACAATAAAAGGGGAAGCAGAGGCAGTAACCCTTAGTCTCTAGACACATTCCCATAAAAATGAACTGCCTATCTGCAATATCCTTCTCCTTGTCCTTCCCTTTCATTTCTATCCCAACTAACAGCTAGTTCCCATCTCCCCAGCCATGATCAAAGTGAGGTGTGTGACTTTAGTACTGAGATGAGGAAGGTCAAACTTACCACATTCAAAGAAATTATAAACCGGGCGGACCTTGAGGACACGCTGCATGTACTCGTGCAGGATGCAGACCTCCGATTTCCCGTTGGGGTTAATGACAAATTCTGTGACAAGAAGGACCATCTCAACAACAGTGTGAGGACCCCGCTACAAGCTAGCACTTGGGACCTGGCACCATCCAAGTTACCAAGTCATTGAATTAGAGGCGCACTGCCATGAATGTGTCGGAATTCTGCATTCGTAGGGTAAACATAAGCTTTCAATTAAAATGCAACTCACACACAAAGTATACATTTTAAGAACATCAAATGAAAAATAACAATATAACCAGTCTGCCAATGTTACAATTTACAAGCCCCACTCACCTTTCTTTGTGGGTGCATCTTGCACAGATAGAGTAATGAGCTTCTGATTGGCCGGCAGGATGGGCCTCTCAGACTCCGCCTGTTTACGTTTCATTTCTCGGTTAAACTGCCGCCGCTCGGCCCAAGTTCTGAATTTCTTTACAGTAACTTGCTCAAAGTCAAAACGCTTCTCCAAGTAGCTCCGAAATTCCTCAAGATCTATATAAGATTTACCAGCGAGACATATTACTAATTTTCAATTAAGTCATTTTCTCTGTCCAGTGAATTGGACAGTGATGGGCTGCCACTAGACAGGTCCCACCACACAATACCCACTGCTCTTTCCATGTCCCTTTTGAAGGGCATGGGAAGCAAAGAATGAGGTCCCTTCACTCAGCCAGCTCAAATTATTCTGAAAGGTCCTTATGAACAAACTTCTGGGATATTCTTTTAGTTAATTTGGAGTAAGAACAAGGATTAAAAAAAAAAAGAAGAAAGCTTTAAAAAAAATCAGATGGCCTTCAGAGTCCATCAAAACAGGTGCCTAACTGCCAGTAGCAGGCAGGGGAGCCATGCACCCACTGCCCATCTTGCTTGCTCTCCCCTCCAGCCACCCTGGCAGCCTCCAAATTCAGTAACACCCTCTGGCAGCTTAGACCTGGATACTCATCATGCCTCTCCCCACATGGCCCCTGGCTCAGCCCCACAGATCAGGCAGGGCCTTGCCTCAGCTGAGTACTCCACCCCCGCACCATTCAGTGAAGTTTCCTGGGGCCTCCCACTTTTACTGTTACACCTACTATTATCCCCTTCTCCCCAGGACTTCCTAGAGGTTCCCATCAGCCTCAATAGTCTCCTGCCTGCCTCCTAGCACTCAAGTGTGCCGTAGCTCAAGCCCAGCCCTAAGAGCAATACCAGCAGAAGGTGGAGAGAGGGATTCTGTGTAGGAAGATTGAGATGTACACTGAGATGTAGCTTTTTAAAACAAAAGGCTACAAAAAATAAACTTGCACCTACTTAATTATAAACTGAAACTACATACTTCTTTGCACAGAATGCAGAGAAGTGAGTCTGGAAGTAAGTACCAGTGGTCGCCTCTCACAGGAGAATGAGGTTATAAGTGGGAGGCAGGTGTTTTCGAAAAACAGAAATACAATCATTTACACGTGCATAAAAGATAGTACAAAAAAGTAGAGCACTATCTCAAAGGGAGAGCTCCCTTCCAGCTAGGTCCCAGAGAAAAGCCTTAACACACCCACAGAAGACAGAGGAAGCCGGCTTGCAAGAGGGAGGAAGGCAACACCAGACAGACAGGTTGAGAGAAGACTGAGATCCATCCATCGGGGGAACTCGGGGACCAGTGAGACTCTGCCTTTCCCCAGATGTCCAAGGCTATAACCAGCATGCTGCTTCTCCCCCATCCCCCAGAAGCCATCTCCCTAGCCCTTAGGCTCCTTACATGGAATAGTTAGGAGACAAGCCAGGCAGCAATACACATAATCAGAAATCCTGAAAAGGCAAAGTCCTCTTTGAAAAAAGATTCAACCTAACCAGTGTGGCTCAGTGGTTGAGCGTCGACCCATGAACCAGGAGGTCACAGTTCAATTCCCAGTCAGGGCACATGCCTGGGTTGCAGGCTCAATCCCCAGTAGGGGGCATGCACGAGGCAGCCAATCAATGATTCTCCCTCATCACTGATGTTTCTATTCTTTTCTCCCTCTCCTTTCCTCTCTCTGAAATCAATTCAAAAAACATCAAAAGCCCTGGCGGGTTTTGCACAGTGGGTAGAGCGTCAGCCTGTGGACTAAAGGGTCCCAGGTTCGATTCCAGTCAAGGGTACATGCCTGGTTGCAGGCACAATCTCCAGTAGGGGGAGTGCAGGAGGCAGCCGATCAATGATTTTCTCTCATGATTGATGTTTCTCTCCCTCCCTCTCCCCCTCCCCGTTCTCTCTCTAAGCATGTCCTCAGGTGAGGATTAAAAGTAATAATAAAAGTCCAACCGATGTTGCTCAGTGGTTAAGCATTGACCCATGAACCAGGAGGTCATGGTTCAATTCCTGGTCAGGCCACATGCCCACGTTTTGGGCTCCATCCCTTGTGGGGCCTGCAAGAGGCAATGGAGCAATGATTCTCTCTCATCACTGATGTTTCTATCTCTCACTCTCTCTCCCCCTTCCTCCCTGAAATTAATCCTATATAATAAAAGACTAATATGCAAATCAACCAAACAGCAGAACGACTGGTCACTGTGATGTACACTGACCACCAGGGGGCAGACGCTCAAAGCAGGAGCTGCCCCCTGGTGGTCAGTGTGCTCCCACAGGGGGAGCGCTGCTCAGTCAGAAGCCAGGCTCACGGCTGGCGAGTGCCGCAACGGTGGCAGGAGCCTCTCCTGCGAGCCTAAGCTGTCAGTCGGAGATCCCTGAGGGCTCCTGAACTTCGAGAGGGCGCAGTCCAGGTTGAGGGACTCCCCCGCCCCCCAGTACACAAATTTTGTGCACCAGGCCTCTAGTAAAAATATATCTTTTAAAAAATAATAAAAAATTTTTATCAAAATGTTAAAATTTGAATGGGTGAAACTAAGCTTAAAGACAGGAGAGGGAGTGAAAAACACCAACACACACCCACAACTGCAGGATTTAAGTGTGAAATGCCCACAGAATAGTGATAGTTTCCCAACAATGAGTCTATGGATTGAAGTAGCCTGTTCTGAGTGCATCAAGATAAATCAAAACGCCACATCAAATACATCCTACTAAAAAAAGCAAAACTTCAGGAAAGAACATAAAAATGACTAGAGAAAAAGGTGGGCCTGCACTAACAGCCATCTCCATGACAGCATTGGCCACATGGGCCCCACAGAGCCCAGGAGCAGGGGCCTGGAGCGTGGGACCTAGGCAGGTTCTCCAAAGAACAGGGAGATGGGACTTCCCAGCCATGTTGTGGGTAGACAGAGGTCCCCAGCAGTCCCTTCTTCACAGACATAACTAGGAACAGATGGTCTTCAGCAGAAAGAAGGAGACCCCACAGGATGTAGGGGCATCCCTGCAGATAGTACAAGGCAGCAAAATGGAAAGAGTTCACTCTGGAAACTTACCAACTGATTCGTCTTTGCACACCTCAACTTTGGCCTTCACCTGCCCCAGGGCCCCAGGGGCAGCCTCAGCCCCCAGTGGATCCTTCTCATCTGGGGGCCCCGTGTCGGCCCCCATGGAATCAGGCTCTTCCAGGGGAAACTCCAGCTCTGCAGATCGACTGAGGGGCTTGACAGGGGACACCTCCCCACTAGGGGAAAGCTCACTGTTTTGCTCCCTTTCCTCGTTGTCCTTCATTTTCTTGTAATGCAGACAGGGGATGCTACTCAGAGGAGGGTCATGTTTCTGTGGATAGTAAAATTGTAATAGATTATAAGGATGACCCCAGTCTGAAATCCGATGTCTTTCAGCTGCCTCAGCTTGGCTATGATGCAATGTGTGCACATTCTTGTCTGCGAATTTGCAAGACTAAATTCAGGACTGATGCATCCCATACCCGTATGCTTCCCGTTCCCAAGAAGTACGGCCTCGACCAGGTGACCACCCGAGACTCTCGGTGTAGGTACACAGGGACTCCGGAGTTATGGAATGTCATGATCCACCCATCAGGCAATGGTTCTGTAGGTGGGCGGCCACGACCTGCATAGAAGAACATCCTACAATCACTTGAAAAACACAAAAACTGTTGGGATTTTTTAAAATTATGACATAAGGCAGATAAAAACGGTAAAATGGACCAAATATTGAAAAGAACCTCTAAGAACTAAGCAAGTAAGGAAGTGCCCCACCTCCAGACAGAGCCTACCCCAGCCCTGTCTGTTGCTTGGCACCTCCCAGCACCTCCTGGACAGCTGGTGTCAGGACAGCCCCTGGAAGGGAGTATTTCAGGTCAGAAGTGCACAAACCCTTATCAGGCACTCTCCCCTGTGAGCCAGGCCAAAGAGCTGCCTTACATCAAATGAAATACAAACCAAGCACAATATGGGACACAGGTGCATCCAGGCCACTCATTTATACCAATGAGTGGCCATAAAGTTGCCCCGGCTGTCCGAAGAGCTCACATGCTGCTCATATGCAGTCTGTAAGCAGGAGGAGCAAGCTGCAACTCCTGGGAGGGAGGCACCACTGCCAGTCAGGCTGCCAGGTGGAGAAGAATGCAGAGGGAAAGCCAGTGCCCAAGCAGGTAGGTAGAGTGGCCAGGCATACTGCTAGCCTGTGCACTGCTCAAAACGGACACGACTTTACCTGCTCAGAATGAGGTACTGAAACCCCAGAAAGAGCACAAAGCAAACCTGCCAGAGGCACCAAGGTGAAGACTGCCCCTCAACCCGTTCGCAGAAGCTGAGACCCAAGTTCATCTCCGTCTGCAATCAGTGAACCCAACATTTGTCCTATTCCAACCACGTCAACATAGGCAGATACACACCTGCCCACCATGACGCATCCACTACATAGCCAGAGGAGACTGCATACAACCTACCCCTCAATTTCCTCCCATCACACCTCATCACCTTCTGTACCAAGCACCTCAGACTAAGGTGTCACCTGTCTGCCTACCAGAGTCCCCATGCATCTCTTCAGCCCATCTCTGCTGTCCAAATGCCCAGCTCTACATCTCCACCTAGACACTCACAGGTGCCGCCAGGACAGACAGACTCCTCTCAGACTGGCACTGCATTGGCAAAGCAGTTGCGCGAACAAAACTCTGGACGTCTCCCTACTGCTCTCCACTCTGTCCTCAAATCCAAGTGTAAATCCTGCTGCCTGTACCTTTAGAACACCTCCACTTGTACACCAAGAGCTCCCACCCTGCCTATCTGAAATACACGTGCCATGCTGCAGCCATAGGAGCTATGCTTTTAGATAAAAATTGTGTAACAATATCTGCCTGCTTTTTTTCTACCTCTAGCTACAAAGATACATTTTTTTCCAAGTTGTCAGCATCCTTTTAATCTTTAAAAATATAACATATTTCTAAATCTGTTTTAAAAACCAGCCATTGGCCGGCGTAGCTCAGTGGTTAGAGCATCATCCTGCACACCAAAGGGTCCCGGGTTTGATTTGGGGTAAAGGGTTCATACCTGGGTTTCAGGTTTGCTCCCCACCCCATGTCCAGGCGAGTGTAGGAGGCAACCAGTCGATGTGTCTCTCTCATATTGATGTTTCTCGCTCACTCTTCCCCCCTCCCTCCCTCCTTTCTATTCTCTCTGAAAAACGATGGAAAAAATAAAAAATATCCTCAGGTGAGAATTAAATATAAACACAAAAAAAACCCACAAATCATTAGATTTAGCATTTTTATTGAGAGCAATTATGCCACAATAAAATTTATTCTACCATGTTTTGTTTTGAACACCTGTTTGCTTCTAGTGACTTCTCCTGAGAACAACAGAGTCTAGAGAACTTGGACCTTGACCTTCACCTACCACCATGCTGAGCACCCACCTCTGGCCTCAACCTCCACACACACTGGTTGCCTGTCTTGTCATCTCCCAGAACACACCAATGTCCCTTCCTCAGGGGTCCACTCCCCACCCCATCAGAAGTCCCTTCCCAGTTCCCCTGCAAGACACTAGCTTCTCTGTAGTTTCCACAGCATACACCACAATTTGCACCTGGGTGGTAGTGCTTCTGGGTGCGTCCTTGTGTCTTATTTCCCCTTCATCAGACATGATTATCTTGCCCTCAAAAGCATGCCGAGACTGTCATCTGGTATCCAAAAACTTCTCAAACCTGCACTTCCACTGCCCTGCAAACACTCACTACTTTTGACCCAACTTACTTTTGAGCACTGTTTTAATCTTGGTCATCATTGGCTGCACACTTGTCTCTCCATCAGATGGATGGTCGCTGTCTCCTCCATATTTCTCATCCACTCTCCTCTTTTTGGGAGCACAAAGGCCCTCTTCCAACAGAGCATCAACGTCGTTGTCAAAATCATCCTGCAAAACATACTATTCAGACACTACAGCCCCAGCACCTACATTCCTGCACCACAGGCAAGTTTAACAACACTAGTGAGAACGGACACAGAAATGAGGCACTCTGAATGGGACCTAGATGTGCCTTTATGGTGCATGATCATCTGAAAAACAAACGGGACAAAACAAAAAACGGAAGCCAAAAGGCTTGGTCCAGGCACACACACCATTAGGGAGCATGTCTCCGCAGCATTTTCCAACTCAGGTTGGTAAAAGGCTGACTTGTCAGCCAAACTTTTCATCAGTTTAACAACGTGGACTCTTTATAGCTAACCCTCTTCCACCTCGCATGGACTTCTTTTCTCTGCAACACCAGCTTACAAAAGATGCTGCTGTTCCCAAACACCTCTCTTTGGGTTTTGTCAAGAGCACTCCAAAGGAGAGGTCACCGACATACCTCGTAGGAGAAATTCAAGGCCTCTTCATCCACTCTGTCTCTTTGCACGATTGCTTTAGCCGTGAACCCGCCTGCTCCTTCTTCATCTAGCTCCAAATTGTCAGTAAAATCTTCTAACTCATCGAGCACTGCATACTCCACTCTCTTTTCCTGATCCAGATCATTCTCCTCATCCTTCTTATCAGCACTCTCACCCCCTATGCCTACCCCATTACCAACACTCCCGCCAAAGGGACAAGCATGCATGTCTCCACTGACAGGGCTAAGGGCCAGACTGCACTCCGCACGAGCGTCGCGCTCCACTCCTGTGTACAGCACCTTCCTGTCCTTACTCCTGCAGCTCTCGGTAAAGCTCACACTAATCTTTACATCCTTAAGCAACTTAAGGTCAGGGGAGAACTTCCGGACCGCAGGTGCGTGCCGGGCGGTGCGCGGGCTGTAGCCACTACAGTTCGGGTCTATGAGGAGACGGGCTTTAGAGAAGGATCCTTTGGAGAGAAGAGAAGCTCCGTAGAAGTTGAGTGGGTCCTCAGCAGGGGGTTCGGCCTGTCCATCACCACCAGAGCCAACGTCCATTACCTCTGCATCACTGGACGTTTGCAGGGGAGGTGGTGGAGACTGTTCACGGGGCAGCGCTTGGAGGGGGCAAGCACGTTTCTCCATCACCGCTTCTCCTGCGGGCTCACGCGGGAGAGGAGAGGGACTCTCATATGTCTCCATAGTAAAAGTGGTTAAAACTATTTTAAAAGACCAGTTTTTAAAAACCTCACATAAATCTATACTGCTAACATGCACAAGTCCGTCGAGACCCGGTGCCGTCCTGCCCGCGCTGCACACACTGGCGGCTTAGTCAAGCTGGCCACATTGCTCTTTTCATTAATGTAGACAGCTTTTAGAACCACTGCCTCAATTATTGGAAATCACAATGCACTCAGCTTAAATGACTGACGACTAAGCGAGTCTGTCTTCATGCCAAAGTGGCACCTTTCTTCTTCTACCTGCAAAGAGATTTAAAAACATCGTCACAAATGACAGAAACCTTCTACTTCCCTGGTACCAAGAGTCAAGTGCTTTTAACAGTGTAGCAAAAAACAAACAAACAAACAAAAAAACACACACACAAAAATACTGCCTAAGAGAACCTTTTAAGCTTTAAAACAAACTACCTTTACTTTATTTCTTTATAACCTAAATGATAGTAAGCCCAAGTTAAATATTTTATTAATTGTCCACTGTAGTTCCTACTTCAGAAGCATAAAAACAGTATTTAGTCTTAAGGCTCAAAAGGATTAAAAAAAAATCTACACTAAACTTCACCGCAGCATTCCACTAACTCAGTTTATTTGGTAAGCAAGCACGTGGTGTAAGGCTGCCCTTTCCAGAGCACACATAAGGTGTGTGGCCTCCCTCCGGCCATCAGAGCAACATCAATCTACTCACCTGCTAGGGCTGGGTCAGTCAGAGGGTGAGCACGAGACCCTCAGCTCAACTCTGCAGCACTAGGGCCTCAGAGGTACAGCCGGGCGCTCTGCTACCCTGGAACCCCAGGGCTCTCCTGGGCCCACAAGGTGGCACGTGGACCGGGACAGTGATGCAGCGTGCTGAAGTCGCCAGAGGTGGCGTGGTTCTGTTCCCAGTAGAGGAAGGGGTGGTGGCTGTGGGAAGGGAGCCAGGCCAGGGTTGGTGGGGCAGCTGCAGGAGACAGCTGGAGCCAAGGCACAGGGAGTTCTAGGTACCATCTGGAGCCTGGCTCCATCCTGGGGGCAATGAGGAGCCACACAGGGTGAGTTGACTCTCATGCCACAGTTTAATCCTTATTTGAGAAAAGAAGCTAACCACTGCTCCAGGCACAGTCCCTATGCCCAAGGGGTAGGAGTCCTCGAGGCCAGAGGGCCAAGGCGTGAAAGAACAGGAGCCTTCAGGAACAGTGAAGACACCATACTAACCACTCTGCTGACTGGGTAGAGGTGGAGAGCACAGACAAGAGGGAACTGAGAGCAAATGAGGCTTTCCCCTGGAGGGACGCATGTGTTTCAGCATTCGGGCAGGAGCCCTGTCCAACAGGAGCTGAGGTCACCGCTCTGGAACTAACTGGTCCTGAGAATACGGGCCAGAACACATTCAAGAGGTGGTAGTCGTCAAAGCCACAGAAGAGAGGCTGCCCAGAGAGGGAATAGAGACCAAGAACAGGGTTGAGGACGCAGCTCTGAGAAGCTTCACTCCAGAGAAAGCATGACAAACGGACTGGTATGAGGCTGGAAGGCAGCTCAGAGGGGCAATCCAAAACCCAGAGGTCTGCAGGAGGCCTGAGCATCAGAGCAAAGCACATGCAGGCTCACACACAGTGCAGACAGACATACATGTAAATATGCCATGCACACGGTGCAGATATGCACATGCATGCCTATATATGCACAGGGCAGCATGACTGGTTGCATAGACAGGAATCAGCAGACATCACATGTTTAAAAAGTTTGTGGTGATGGGACAGAGTATGGTGGTTGTATTTTGCAGCTGGCACAACATAAAAACCAGAGGCTTGTTTAATCAAGTCTTTGAACAAATACTGGCTGTCTACTCTGAGGGAGGCACTACCAGAGACAAGTAAGGTCCCCACGACCTGGACACAGTTGGAAGGGCAATGATCACCAAGCTGTCACTCTATTTCCAAGATTCTAAGATGTCCTTACTGTTCTGGTTTCAATGGTAATTTAACACAATACCTCCCCAGAGATGTGTCTGTCAAAGGTGCTAAGGATGAAGGAAATGCAGCACATAGATAAGGACAGATAGACTGAGCTGCAGGCAAACACTAAGGAGGCTGCAACCAGAGAGGCACCAGGAACACTGAGTAGAGTAAGACCAGTTTCCTGCCAACCAAGAAAGATCATTTTAAGAGAAGGACAAGCAGGTCAGCATGCCCAGAGCTACAGAACACAGATCAGACCAGGACCAAACCCCTCAGCACCTGGCAGGTCTGTCCAGACTCAAGCTAGGGCCAAATGTGACTCTTGGGGCTAAAAAAAACCCAAAAAACAAAAACTAAAATGAAGAAGACATAAGGAGATGGGAGGATTGAAGACAAGTGGCAGCACAGGAGAGGGAATGCCTACTACCATATTAAAAGGCTAAGAAGTAGCCATGTGGTAGAAGCACAAAGCAAAGATGACAATGATAACAGCTGAAGGAAGCCTTGAAGAGGTGCATAGGGTGAGGTTGGAGAGCTGTGGAGAGAAAGTGTGTGCTTCTTGGAAGATCAGGAAAAACTGCCCAGCCCCAGGAGGCAGCAGCTCAAGGTGCAAAGCCCCACAGTGGGGCAGCTCTGAACAAGTTCCTTACCTTCCCTCTGCAAGCTTTCACTACTCATTCAACAAGTGTTTGCTAAACCCCTTCAATGTAGCCTGCACACACACACACATACACACACACACACACACACACACACACACTATCCTAGATGCTGAGGACGCCAGGCAGACAAAATCCCTGCCCCACAGAGCTCATGTTTTAGCAGGAGATGGTCAAGTAACAACTAAGAAAAACTGATAAGTGCTCAAGAGAAAATAAAGCAAGGAATTGAGAAAGGGGAGGCAGCTTCAGAAAGAATGGACAGTAAAGACCTCATAGCCATTGTCCATCTGAAGGTAAGGAGAGTGAGCCAGGTGGGTAGTGGGAGTGTGAGGAGGGGACACTCCAAGCACAGAAAGAACAAAGGCCCTGGGTAGGAGTGTGGTGTAGCAGGTGAGAGCAGTGTGCTGACAGGAAATGAGAGGAGGCCAGGTCTGTGCGAGCAAGCAAGACCAGGACTCTGGCTCTTATCTTGAGATGGGCCACTGGACAGGAAAGCCCAAGCAGTGGGGTCACGTGACCCAAGGACAGCAGTGGCAGCCAACTCTCAGCTGGACCCTTTTCTAAGCCCTTCGTGAACTTTTATTCGCCAGTGCTCACACAGCACCGAGAAAGGTTAAGCAACTTGCTCAAGGTCACACAGCTAGAAAGTGGTGGAGCTGCTTTACCACCCAGGCAAGCTGGCTCCAAGCTGAACTGCCTCCGTCTTACATTATCTTGCAATGTAAAAGAATCATGAGGAGAGGGGCAAGGGTGAGAGCAAAAAGAAGAATTAAGAGGCTTATTACCAGACTTAAACCGGGGGTGATGATAAATGGTCCCGAGGGTGGTATGGAGGCCTGAGAAGAATCCAGGTGGCTCCAAACTCAAGAACAGAGCTGTCATGCACTGAGGTGGTGAAGGCAGCATGAGGAGTGTTTGGGGGTAAAGATCGGGCGTTTCAGTTTGCACGTGGCTACTTAGCATCAAAGTAACACAGAGAGATGGGAGGAGGCAGCTAGAAAGCTGAGGCTGCAGCTCAGATGGCAGGCTGGGCTGGAGATGGAGATGTCAAGGAGAGATGGCATTAAAGCCAGGCGGCTGGATGAGATCACCACGGAGGGGAGGGCCGGGCAAACCGGTCGGATGTTTGCTACCCCCAAGGCCACGGTTAAGCTGTAAAACAACACTTGGGAACTGTCCCACACGGTGCCTGACCACAGAGAACGCAAACGGATGGTTCACCCTGCCGTGGGCCTCACTGCTGCTTCAGCTGCCTGAACACATGCAGACCCTGCCTGCCAAGTGGACAGTAAGCCAGCAGCAGGCTTAAAGCGGGCTTCCCTGAGTCCCCGGCGCGGGGGTACAACCGGCACACTTGGACAGCACCCTGCGCTGACGGGGCTGGCAGGGAGGCACAGCTGTGCTGGTTACAAGGCTGTGGCCGCTGCCTTGAGGTCAAGCCTCTCCTGCGGCGGCTTCCCGCCCAACCCAGCAGCAGCGTGACCTCATCCGTCCCTTTTGTCATCCTCCAATGGGCCTCCTCCTGTGCCCGCACCGCCGACTGGGACCGTTCACTCCCTCTGGGGAGCGAAGGCCCGTGAGGGGGCTGCCCATAGCCCGGTGACTGAGAAGTCCATTCCGCTGCCAGGAAACAGCGGGCCCCGTCCTAGTGGTTGGCCTCCCGGTCACCAGCACTAGACTGCACGGCCGAGCACCGAGCACCGAGCACCGAGCACCGGGTAGCAAGGTACATGCACAGCATGCAGCAACGGTAAGTCAAACTCCTACCATGAGCAACCCAAGTCCATGAGAGGATACCTGACAGATAATCACTGTCAACAGGTTGCCCCCTTTTCCTTGTACTTCTACCACGATCATTGTTATGATAAAACCACGTCCAGAGTATCTAGGTGTGATACTCAACCCATGAGGATTAGTGGAGAGAAAGACTTGGGCGACTTCTCAGATTCCCCGCAGGGTCCTAAGCAAGCACGACCATGTTCATACCTTTCCCGCCCGAAAGCGATGCTAGGGCTTCGGGCCCACGGGGTGAGGGGTTTCTTTACACTCGGACAGTTACCCCGGGCGGAAAGGGACCGGCCTCGGCGCCGCCTGGTCCCGGGGCCCGCCCCCCAGCCGCAGAACCTCGCCGTCCCACACACCCCCCCCCGGCCGTGCGGGACCCCAGCCCCACGCTCTCCCAGGCCCTCGTCCCTAATACTTCACAAAGGCCGAGACTCCGCGTGGCCAGGCCCGCCTCACGCACACCCGCCCCGCCCCGCCCCGCCCCTCCGTGCCTCCCGGGCCGCGGCCCACCGCCCGCGCGAGTAAGGGCGCACCCTCGCGCAGGCCGCAGCGCCCGCCCGACCCGCGGGGCGCCCTTCGCGCCCAGCACCTACCTCTGGCGCCCGCGGCCTGCCCGAGCTGCCCGCAGCCCGACTACAATAGGGAGACCCTCACGGCCCGGCCGCCGCCGCCAACCAGAAAGGCCACCCAGGCTCTCCCGGGTCGGCCGGACCCGCCTGCCGCGCGGGCGAGCGGAGGGCGGGCCTTGGCGGTGCACGGCCAATCCCTGGGCGCGGCCGCCCCGCATTGGGGAATCCGCGGAGCGGGCTGAGGAGGCCGCCAATCGGCGGCGCAGGGCTCTCGAGGCCTCGGCGTGCAGCCCAATAGCGCGGCCGCGTGGGCGGGACCAGAAACTGAGGCCGCGGCCGCGCTAACCGTCGCAGCCCGGGCGGGGCTTGCCGCGCGGAGGGCGATCGCCGCGAGGAGCGCCGGGAACGGGGCGCGCAGGGAATGCCGGGAACAGAGGAGCGCTGGGAACGCCGGGAATGGGGGGTTGGGGGAGGGTTACGGTGGATGCCGGGAATCCGGGAGCTCGGGAATGCCGGGAGTTGAGGGTGCTTGGGTGGTCTCAGGGCTCCTTCCGTCTCCAGTCTAGGCCGTGCGGATGAGAGTGTCCACACAGAAATTTTCCAATTAAAATAATTAAATATTATCATTAGGGATAAAAAGACAAGTATCCTCAATTGTCTTGCAGTCTTCCATTTGCCAATACTGTGACAAGAGCCTCAAGAAAGGGAGGATATAGGAAATGAAAGGACCGTTATTCCTTAGTTAGACCAGAGTGCCCGTAAATAAATGGTGAAGGAATGATGGAAGTAGAAAGTATCCTACCTGGCAGACAGCGCCTAAACTGCTTCAGACAAAATCAATGGATGCTTAAAAAAAAAAAAAAAAAAAAAAGGGGTGGGCAAGCCTTGACTGGTTTGGTTCAGTGGATAGAGCGCCGGGCCATGGACTGAAAGGTCCCGGGTTCGATTCTGATGGAGAGCATGTACCTTGGTTGCGCGCCGATTTCCAGTAGGGGGCGTGCCGGAGGCAGCTGATTGATGTTTCTCTCTCATGATGTTTCTAACTCTATTCCCTTCCTCTGCAAAAAAAATCAATAATATATATATATTTTTTAAAGGTGGGCAAAAGTATGAGAAACTGGTGGTGGGGTGTGTTTTACAGAGGTGCGGTTTCTTCCCCAATTGCAGTGGAAAAAACCTGAGAGACACCACCTTAACAAAGTGATCCAAGTCATCAGCAAACGTATACACATCCAAACTTACCAAGTTATACACTGTAAGAATGTGTTGCTTGTATGTTAATTATACCCAAATAAAACTGAAGGGGGAAAGAAGCACCAGAAAAGAGAAAAACTGTGTGCCTCCTGAGGGCATGTATCACTTGGTATTTCTGCCCAAAAGGCTAACCCTGAATGTCATCATGAAGAAAAATCAGACAAACCCAACTGAGAGACATTCTACCAAAACACTGGCTGGTACTTTTCTAAAGTGTCAAGATCATGGAAGTCAAAGACAGACTAAGGAGCCATCTTTGATCAAAGGAGACACAACAAGTTGCGATGTGGGATCTGGATCAGAGATTGGAAGCTGGCTTAGGAAAGGGATATTAGTGGGGCAATTGGTAAAATTCAAATAAAGCCTGTAGATCAGTTAATAGTATTTAACAATGCTACTTTCCTGGTTGTAATCATTTTATTGTAGTTAGGCAAGGTGTTAACATTTGGGGGAAGTGGATGAATGATATTGGAATTCTTTGTTCTGTTAACATAAAAAAATAAATAAACCTGTAAAGAATTTTTGTGAGTTTATTTGAGCGAAACTGTTGACAATTGCCAGGAAGCAAAACCTCAATGTATTGGGATAATGCTCCGGAGAATGGCTGGTTTTTACCTTGTTTTTATAAACTACCATCAAAAGAGGAGCTGTAAGTGGGTTACTTGAAATCCACTGGTGCTAGATTAGGGAGGTGGGAGAAAGCAAAGTGGGGAAACCTCTGAGATTGGATAAAAAGTGAAAGGATGGACACATGCTTCTATTACATAGGTGAGTACAGAATACTTAACAGTCAACAATTCACATGATAACAATAACAATGAGGGGATTTGTGGTCTCCCTTGGTGCCATTTTTGGTTACCCAGACACTTCACAGGTATGTTTTCTTAGATGCAGAAAGACAATAGGCTCAGTAAAGATCAGAAGTTGATCTTTGTCACGGAAAATACTGGCCTAGGAAATGACTACCTCCTATCAACTGCTTTTAATTAAATTTTTAATTTCAGACCATCCCTTGTGGTTACTTTTGGTCTTGGAATTTGCAAAACCGCCATGCAGGCCTTCCCTGAACTAGTCAGGTTAGCATGTGGCCTTTTTTTCATACGTCCATAGTTCTATTTTTTTTGAAGTTTGTAGCAAATTGCAATTCCTTCAATGGAAAGGTTAATAAAAGTGGGGAGAGAGAATATTGCAGGTGAGGAAACTGGAAGCCTACACAGTCCCATTCTTCCCTTCCTGCCCCCTTCCATCCACCTAGCTGCCAGCACCAGGCACCTCACAGTGGGCATTGAGCCTCATGAGGTTCTGGTTCCTGGATTTGGCCAGCTGCTGACCTTGGCCCAGTGCCATCAGGGCCCATGGGACCCTTGCTACACCACCATTCAGCCTTAGCTATCTCTACCAACTGGATGATGGACAAGGACCCTCACCACCAGCCCTCCCCCATAATCCCCACCTGGCTCCAGCCTCAGAGTCACAAAGATTGAAGCCTGGAATCTGGAACTCCAGCCCAAGCTGCGATGGTCAACTTCCCTCTGGGCTTGTTTGCACTTTAGCCTAGCCACCCAGGAGCCAGGTTTCTGCTGAAGAGCCTGGATGATGCCATCTGCTGGCACCTTAGCCAAGTGATCATGGTCACCAGCAAATGTAAACACATCTAAATTGTGAACCCTGAGCAAAAAAAAAAAAAAAGGTAACTACTAAGAAGGGCTCCTGGTAGCTAACTGAGCTCAAATTTTAAAAAACAGTCTAGCAGCCATTTCTGCACATGAACCTGTCACACAATCTGCACTTCACAGAGAAGGGACCACTGAACTCCCTTCCTGCACCGTGTTTTTGCCATCTGAGCCAGGCTTTATGAAGGAATTCTGAGAATCCTATTTCAACCAATAGGGCTGAGGCTTTCCCTGTCCAATTGGAGCTGTGCAGTTCCAACCAATCAGAGTGACTCTATTCTAACCAATCAGGACCGCCTTTTGGACCAACCAAACTGCAAGGTTGAGTCCTTGCATGAGGACAGACCAATCAGGGACCAGGAGCAGGGACTTCTGTCCTTATAAGCCAACTCCCTTCTGGCTCAGAGAACACACTCTCCCTTTTCATCAAAGACTGAAGACTTCCCCTGGCTGAGCAGAAACACTGGAGATATCTTGCAGGCCACAGCAGAGCATCTTGCAGGACAGAGCAGAGCTGTCTAGTTGGAGAGGGGCCTGGCCTCAGAGCTGTTCTACAGCTGTGCTGTTTTCCCAGCCACACTGCTATCACAATTTACCTGTTTTGCACTGAATAAAGTTTCCTTGTCACCACACCCCAAATTGGGAATTCCTGTTGGCATTGAATTAGCACCAATGACCATCAGTTGACAAAAATTGTCAAAAGATGGGGTGTCATGGGCAGTCTCTGCAGACTGCCAGGACAAAACTTAAGGTCAGGCTGCATTCCTGAGCTGGTCATGCCTCCTCATAGACTTGCCTCTGCATCCGTCAGCTCCACACCTCTGGCCTCCGTGCCAGCACATCTCAACTTGGCTGTCGTGGAGCCAGAGAGTAAGAGAAGCTCATCTGGGAAAAAGGGCATCTGAGAAAGGGATGGATGAATTCCCCATTCACCCAGGAGAAGAAGACCCATGTTGGGGAACTCAGGGACCAAATGCATCCGGTGGCAAGCAGAGAAGACTGGCTAAGCCATGCCAACATCAGGCCCAGGACTTCCTGGATGGTATGCCAAAAGTGCTTCTAGAAGGCATCAGATTCCTATGGTCCTAGTACCCTTCTAACAGTATAGGGGCCTCACTAAAAGGCACTAAATAAATGGAGGCTTGAGCAACATCAGCACTATATCCTTGAGTCAAGGCATCAGGATATAGCGGTAGGCAAAAGAGGAAAGGTCCCACCTTCCTGGAGCTCTCCTGACAGGGAAACATACACAATCAAAATACATAGTATGTCAGACAGTGCTAACTGATATAGAGAAAGAGCAGGGAGTCAGGCAGAGAAAATGGCAATTTTAGATGGGATGCCCCTCCAAAAATCACTTTAGCAACAGTCTGCAGAATGTGATGGAGAGTGCAGTTGGGATATTTGGAAGAGGAGTTATTTAGGCAGAGGGGACAATGAGTGCAAAGGCCCTGGGGCAGGAGCTGTGCAGAAAATGTGGCCATAGCAGTGGCAGGGGCTTAAGTGAGGTGAAGGTGGGAGGGGTGCCAACAGCAGGATGAGGCCAGAGTGGGAGGACACTATGGGCCTACAGGGCCAGGCACACAGCTTGTCCTCTTCATGCTCTTTCCTAGCCTCATGGCTCTGACTCCCATGTGCTCTGGGGACTGAGGGACTGTTATGGTGCAAATCTAAGCCTTGGTTTTCTCACCTGTCAAGTGAAGGTCACAATTATATCGTTTTGCTAGGAATGCCATAACCAAGTACCACAAATGAGTGGCTTCGACAACAGTTCTGAAGGCCTGAAGTCTAAGATCAAGGTGACAGCAGGGCCACGCGCCTTCTAATAGTGCTGGGAAAGATCTGTTCCAGGCTTTTCTCCCAGCTTCTGGTAATTTCTTGGTGCGTGGCAGCATAGTCATCGTCTTCATAGGGCGTTCTCCTGTGTGCATGTCCAGATTTTCCCTTTTTTATAAGGACATCAGTCATATTTGCTTAGGGCCCACCTTAATGGCCTCACTTTACCTTGATTACTTCTAATATGGTCCCATTCTGAGGTCCTGGGGTTAGGATTACATATATCCTTTGGGGGCACAAAATTCAACCCCTAACAATCACAGAATTACACCTTGAGCTGCCTCTTCCTCGGGGGACCCAGGCTATTGGGGAGCCCTGGGCAGGCTAGACACAGAGGAGGCCATGACACAGGTGGGGAAGTTTCCCTTGTTGCCCACCCCTGGGGCAGAGGTGAATACCTTTGGAGGCTCTTCAGTGGCTCTGCACCCAGCCCAGTGGTGCCCTACGAGGGTGGACATGCCTGGCTAGGGTGGATGCTGGTGTGGGCACTGGCCCACGCTGTGGGGCAGCCCGCTGAGGCAGATAAAGGGTGTCGGCATAGAATGAGCAGCCAAGTCGGGCCTGATGCAGGTCCACATCCCATAAGCTCTCATTTCTCTGCGATGGCCAGAAGTGAGTGTGGGTGTGAGAGGCACACCTCTGCTTGTCTGGCACAAGCGCATGTGTGTGTATGCCTGGGAGCGTGTGTGTGTTCCAGCAAGTGTGCACACATCTATTGCCTGTGCCTGTGTGTGCCTGTGTGTGTGTGCCCCAAGTTGGGGGTTGGCTACAGAGGCACAGGGAAGCCTGGGTCCTGGCATTGGACGTGTGGGACCCCCTTATGCTTGGCCCCAAATGGGGATAGGAACTCCCAAGTGCTTGTCCCCAACCCTGGTCCTGGGGTTGAGACAGACTCCATCACCCTCTTACCTTGAAACCTACTCCACAGTCCACACCAAGTGCAGGTCTGACCACACTGCTCCGTCAGGGGGCTCTCGGGGGCTCCCCGCTGAACCTGGATACATCCCTGGCTCCTTGGCCTAGCTCAGGAGGCCCTGTCACTGGCACCTACTATATCCCATATACCCAGGCTCTCCCACACCCGGGCATCAGCCCAAGGACCAGCATGGTGCTCAGGAGACCATGCGCAAAGGAGAAAGTGGAAAGAGCCCTGTACTATCACCTGTGCCACAGGAGCTCCTGCAGGCCGGAGAGCAGCCACCAACCCCACACATACAACAGCTCCATTTGTCCCCGTCACACAAGTTAAGCACATGGAATGGATGGACTCACCATAGCCTCAGCGTTTTATTGTCAACGTCTCACATTCAAGTACAGATTCCTGTGAAGTGTGATTCGCCTAAAGAGGAGGGATGGGCAGGGGCTGGCTGTGTCCCCTCGCTGAGATGGGCCTGCCCAGAACCCACGACCAGTGGGCAGGGAGGGTCTGACAGGCTGCTGGGTGCCCAGCACATGCAGGACTCCAGTCATGGGACAGCCCCATGCACACGGGACCACTGGATCCACCAACCAGACTGTGCTTCTGTGATGAGAGAAGGTTTTCCTTGGTTCTTCCTCATTCCTCATTCAGAATGTGGCCAGTCTGTCCTCCAAGAGCCGGTCTGGTTGTCAGGATCTGGACCATGTCCAGGAGAGAAGGGGACACTTCTAGACAAAGGTCTACTCCTGTTGTTTTTGATCAAAGCCAAAGATCCACTGGCCAGAAGTGAGTGTGGGTGTGAGAGGCACACCTCTGCCTGTCTGGCACAAGCACATGTGTGTATGCCTGGGAGCATGTGTGTGTTCCAGCAACTGTGCACACATCTATTGCCTGTGCCTGTGCCTGTGTGTGTGTGCACCATGGGTGTACATGTGTGCCTATACACCTGTAGGCATGTATGTAAGCATGTGCCTTGCGTGGGTGTCTCTATGCATGGGGAGGGGGCAGGGCCAGGTGTGCTGTGCATGTGTGAATGCACCTGGCCCTGCCCCTGACCTGGCTGTGTGGGACTTGCCACTCCCACTGGCATAAGGATGGACTTCGAGCTGGATACTGGGACACAGACAGATCACACACAAATCAGAGGGCCCTGGTGCTGAGAGATGCTGGCCAAGTCACACACAGGCAGTGCCTGTGCTGTGGAAGGTTCCCATCCAGTGCTCAAGGCAGGGCCTTACAGGAGCCTGCTGGCTGCACTCAGGGGGAGGTCTTAGCTCTGCAGCGTAAACTCGTGGGTCCTGGTCTCCCAGCGGGAAGGGTCTTTGTCTAGCATGCTGCGCTCTGTGAAGGTCACATGCCCATCCACGTCCACGAGGATGACCGTGTTGGTTCTGAAAGAGAGCACAGGGCCCACATTCAGCCCGCTGCCCTCGACCCCGGCCCACCTGTCAGCGCCCCAACTGGGGTCAGATCTGAGGCAGAAGGGGCAAGTCCACCACACCTGGGGCCTGTGCTAGGCACTCAGCATGCCTAGAGGCAGGTCACAAATGAGCAGCAGCCTTTGGAAGTAGAGGGACCCTCTGGGGTAGCTGGGCACTGAGCCTGGTGGGGCCTGGAGCTCCCTGGCTGGCCCCCCAGGATGAAGCTTGATGACTCCTGTTGCCTCCACTCTGACACACCCCCAGCCTTCCCTGCCCACCCTCTGTGGTACAAGTTCCAACCACCCACCACTCTCACCAGGGTGAGCCCTGGGCTCTCCGGCAATGGCCCAGCACAACTACGGACATTCGGCCACACAGCTCTTCCAAGCGGTCAGCCTGTCAACTATTTGGGGCCCGGGCCTTCTTTCACCTAGAAAACTCCTCTGTGCCCTCCCTCGCCGCCCCCACTACCCTGTTCCAATGCTCAACACACCTGTCCTCCTGCCTGGCCCTCCCCACAGTCAAGGTGGGACCCAGCGGCCATGCAACCAGACAGGGAGTAGACCTGGCATTCTGCCTCACACACCAAGTTCACACGAGCACACGGTTTAGTCAAAAAATAAGCCTATGATGACGGAGGGCTTGAGGGAAATATGCCCCTGCCAAGGAAAAAGCCGCCCAGCCAGAAAGACTGCCATTCAGGCGTGCAACCCTCCCGGGGCCTGGGAGCATCAGTGCCGGCATTCACACCATCCGTTCCCCCAGCCAGAGGGCTTGAAACGGTCAGTTCCTGAAGGATAGAAGACTCAGAGGGGCCTGCTGGTCACCAGGACTTCACATGCCCATTCCCCTGCCTGATGCCCTCAGCATCAGCAGAGCCGTAGCAAGGTTGGCACACATCCTCCTGGGAGAACCACCTAAGGCAGCAATAACCCAACCTCTCCCACCTGCGGGGAAAGGAGGGGCTTGGCTCACTCAATCTCAAACGACCTGAATCCAAAAACCAGGTAAATGTGTGACATCACCCTGACGTTAGTCAGTACTGGTCACGGTCAGTACTCTTCCCTGAGTCCTTGGTAGCCATGGACCCCCAAGGGCATGGCTCATCCACCACAGTCACTGCAGGTCCCCAGCCTGACACAAGGCTGGTGCCCCTGGGGCCTGGTGCAAGCTGAGCCTAGGCAGATGTGGCTTGTACACGAGGCTGTGCTCCACCTCCAGGCCAGGTAGACCAGGCACGTGGCAGCAGCACTCCTAACGCATCTGGCTGGACCCCAACCTACCCTCCTCTGTGCCTCCCAGCCACCTCTAAGTACAGCATGTGGGCTGCCCTCTGATGGAGCCACATGGGCAGGCCAGGACTCCCAGCCGCACACCCAGGAGGGAGGAAGACAGGAAAGGAATTTGCCAGGACAGCTTCTTACTCCTGGACATTATCATCTCGCAGCTGAGACATTTTCGCCTTTCCTGGGATACGGCAACATCCCCGGCTGAGGTGACCTAATCCCGACCTTGGTCACACAAAGAACGTGACAGGCCCAGGGACACAGGCAAGTGAAGGGAGGAGCCAGACACTGGGACCTCCAGGCTGACAGGGATTTGCCCAATGCCATTTTGGCCCCCTTGTGGCTGTGTAAGAGGGTAGGGGGCAGCCTAGGACCCCCTCTTGGGAAGCAATGGAAGCCTCGGGGGCCTTGTGTCTGGTGTACAGCACCCCTGGAGCTGGCATCTGCTCACCCCACAGCCCCCTGAGCTGAAACGGCATCCACTTCTAGATAAGGCAGAGGCTCTGGGATCCACAGAGCTCGGGTAAGGCCAGGTTCCTGGTGAGACAGGACCAGATGCACCCAGCAGCCCGCCGTACCTGGTGCCGTAGCCTGGGCAGCGCACGCACACAGCCGCATACTTGCTCAGAATGGGCTGCACATACTCCCTGCCTTGGTCCTCAATGGCCGGGTCTGGCAACTGCCTGGAAGGACAAAGGAGGGGTCACCTCCCCACCTCCACACCTGCTGCCCGCCCGCAGCCTTGGAAGGTCTATTTTGCACTTTTCTGCTCAAAGGCTCAAATCTTGGTCAAGACTTTCACTTAGGACTCCGTGGCTGGGCCTAGGAGACCAGACAGCGGTTACTGGGACAGCACCCCCTGCCAGGGCCACCAGGAGCTTTCCCAGGACCCAGGACCCAGAACTCAAGACTCCGAGGACATGAGCACCTATGAGCTCAGTGCTAGGAAGGCTCTGCTGGACCTGAAAATGCCTGGCGTCTGTTTGGTCAGAGCTGTGCAGCGTCCCGTCCTCTGCAGGGGGACAGAAGCCACCCTGGGAGCAAGCTTGCCTCCTCCTCTCAGTGGGGCCTGCATCAGTGGGGGCGCTGCGGGCAGGGGCCAGGCTGCGAGATGCAGTCACCTGGCCACATATGCTCCTGCTTATGCCAAGAGGTGCCCTATGGGCATCTCTCCACGTGACAGGAGCCCACTCAAGCCCTGCAGCTTGCTGGCCACCACAGCTATCAATAAACGCAGCCAGGGCCTGTCATGGGCCAGCAGGGATGATGGACAGTGACCAGGCCGGCCCAGGCAGGGCTTCCCTAAGGGGTCAGCTGTGCTGAGGCAGTGCCCTGGTTCATGGTTCAAAGAGGAGAGGGAGGGTGAGCCAGGGCAGAAAGGGGCTGTAGGGGAGAGGAGTGAGGGGCAGGCTGTGGGCGGCTCTTCTAAGAGGCCATGGGCATCTGGGCAGGACACTGGCCTGGCCTGAGTGGGGAGGAGGAGGGATGTGTGGGCCGTGTTGCTGCGTGGGAGGAAGGTAGCTTGGCCAGCACCTTGACACACACCCCTACCCCCACTGGGATGGCTGAAATATGCCATTCCATGCAGAGACCTCTGAAGTGCCTCAGGGAAGATGGGCCGGAGACAGCTTTTCCCCAGGTAATATCTGGGTGGGCCTCTATGCCACAGCTCCCGTGTGCAAACAGAGGGGAGCCTCCAGCTCCTGTGAGCACCACCCAAGCCCACATCAAGCTCTGAGAGCACCGAGCTTCCCAGCACACTACTGGCCCACGACTGCCCCACCTCCCATCCTCAAAGGCCCCCATCGGAAACCTTACCTGTCCACAGGGACAGGTGGGAGGGGGCAGGGGACAGCGTGTCAGCATATCCGTCAGGTTCTCCTTCAGCTGAGGAGCTGGCCCCCGTCACCTCCACAGGCCTCACAGGGCAGCAGAGACTGCCTGCCTCTCTGCCCCAGGGCCAGAGTGATGGGGAGACACTCTGCTCACCCCAGCAGGACCCACCCACTCACGCCTCCTCGTTGTTGAGCACGTCCAGAAGCTGGGCCACGAGGACTTCCTTAGGGAGGGCCTGGCTCCGCTCCACAGCCTCCAGGAAGAGCCGCTTCCCAAAGCACAGCTTCCTCCAAGGCGTGTCCAGCAGCGCATTGCTCAGCCCATAGGTCCCTGCAGAGAGGGGTCAGTCCACCAGTGCAAAGGCCCCACTGCCTGAATTTAGGGTAAGCTCCCGCCCACCCACCCAGCACCAGGCAAGGTGCCAGGATACAGCTGGGGGCACGGAGGCCAGGCTGCCCCACACTCCAGCATCTTCTCTATGGGTACTCCCAACCATCGGCATGGCCAGAGGTGGAAAACTCAACATGGTAGGGCACCAATAGGAGACTGCAAGATACAGAGGCCAAATGGCCTTGACAATAAGGAATACACAACCTGAAATCCAACTGGGCAAAGGAAAGGGGGAACCACCTCCCCATCTCACTCTCATCCCTCCCTAAGCTAGGAAAAGGCTTCAATGTGTGGGCCCACCCGAGCAGGTCAAGGGTGGGAAAATCACAACCAGAGGCCAGGAGGGTGACTGCCCCAAATGGATCCTGGCTCACATCAGCAGGTAGAGAACCCACCACATCACGATAGCCCCACCTAGTGGGCATGGGCAGGGCCTCCCCTACATGCTGGCAGGGACCCTGGCTGGGGGAGCCTTAAGGTCTTGACACGAGTTTCTCAGAACAAGTTCTCGGTGGTTAATAGAAGGCATCACAAAAAAAGGGGTGGGGTGGTTCTCATGTCAAGAGGAAGAGAGAGAGAGAGAAAGAGAGAGAGAGAGAGAGAGAGAGAGAGAGAGAGTCATGGCCTTGAGGTGGAGAGGTTACAGCAGGTAGCAGGGGTAGGGGAGCTCAGAGTCATGCGTCCTGAAAGATACACTGAGGACAGGGAGCCACCACCCCCTCCAGCTACCAGACTTTCCAGGCAAGAACTTGACTAAGTATGGCATGACTTCAGCAACTTCCAAGGAAGACAGCTCTGGCTCTACCAGGCCCCCATAGCCACGCCACCAGCCCAGAGTATCACTGAGCTTTATCTATCAGGAGTGACGGGAAAGGCCACTCAGCAGTAGTGCTGGGCATCTGGGCAGCCACAGGCAGAGAATGGAGTGGAACCCCTACCTCACACCATATACAAAAATCAATTCAAAATGTCCCAAAGACCTAAATGTAAAAGCTAAAACTATAAAACTCTTAGAAGAAAGTATAGGGGAAAAGCTACACAACCTTAGATTAGTCAATGATTTCTTAGCTATGATACCAAAAGCACACAAAAAAAACAAAAGAAAAAATATAAAATGGACATCATCAATTTACAATGATGCACTTCAAAACTTTCTTGATCAACAAGAAAGTAAAAAGAAAACTCAAAGAAGGGTAGACAATTTTTGTAAATTATATATCTGATAAGGGCGAGAATATATGATGAACTTCAACATAAAAATAAAAATACAAACAATCCAATTCAAGATCTGAATAGACATTTCCTCAAAGAAGATACAAAAATGACTATTAAGTACACAAAAAGCTGCTCAATATCATTAGCCATCTGGAACATGCAAATCAAAACCACAATGAGATACCACTTCATACCCACTAGGATGGCTGTAATAGAACACACACACACACACACACACACACAAATAGACAATGACAACTTTTGGCGAGGATGTGAAGAACCTGGAACTTCCTATACTGGTGGGAATGTAAAATGGTGTAGCTGCTTTGGGAAACAGTTGGCAGTTTCTCAAAAGATTAAACAGTTACTTTATGATCCAACAATTCCACTCCTAAGTATATACCCAAGAGAAATGGAAACACGTGTCCACACAAAAATTTGTAACAAATGTTCATAGCTGCATTATCCGCAATAGCCAAAGGGTAGAAAAGAAAACCCAAATGTCCATCAAGGGATGAACAGAGAAACAAAATGTAGGATATACATGCAACAGAATATAATTCAGCCATAAAAAGGAATTAAACCTAATTCATGCTACAACACGGATCAACCTTGAAAACATGCCAAGGAGAATAGGAAAAACCACGGAGACAGAACGTAGATTGGTGGTTGCCAGGGGCTGGGGAAGAGGAGGAAAGGGTATGGTTTCTTTTTGAGGGGATGGAAACGTTAAATAGCAGTGATGCTGACAACTGCACAACTGTGTGAATATATGAAAATCCACTAAATGGTACACTTAAATGGGGGAACTATGGCATGTGAGTTATATGTGCTAATTAGCCATTACGCCCGGAGGTGTAACGACCAAGCGCATCACGACCAGATCACGAATCAGCAGGTGGGCCAGGAGGTACAAGTGGGCTGTGGAGAGCTACAGGAGGGGGCAGGGCAGCAAGCCATTAGGGGGGTAAGAGGGGAGAGGAGCTGGGGGTGGGGAACTACAGGAGGGTGGCAACGACCTACTGGCTACAAAGGCCACAGAGAGCTACAGGATGGAGCAGGGCAGCAAGCAAGCGGGAGGCAGGAGAGCTACAGGAAAGGGCAGGGCAACAAGCTAAGGGCGGGAGGGGGGGGGGCCCATGGAGGGAGCTACAGGAGGGCGATGGAGAGCTACAGCAGGGTGGCAGCGACCTACTGGCCCACAGATTCATGTACAGGCCTACTAGTATCTCAATAAAACTGTTATTAAAAAGACAGTGACATGGACCAGGCGAGGGCAGGCTCAGGGATGAAACAATAGGATGTTAGGTGAAAAGAATTTCTTCCAAGCAACAATCTAGCAAAAATCAAGCATCTCTAGTCACAGAGTCCCTAGCACTGAGAACTGAGGGCATCACGGAGACCGATTCCAGATGCTTCCACAAAGGCCTCGGGGCCGATGCATAGAATTTGGGGGTGGGAGGGGGTGGCACTCTCTGTCCTTTTGTGCCTTTTAGTTTCCCGTTTTCTCAGGGCGGTCCCAGGCTCAGTGCTGGGGGGAGGCGGCCTCAGCTGAGGGCAGCCTGTCATGTAGGCCTTAAGGTACACAAACAGCCAAAAAGCAGTCCCAGGAGAGAAATATGAGCGGGCCCCAGTCTCTGAAAAATACAGCGGTGTCCCCATAGGAGCAGCCCCCACCCTGTCGCCACCCACCAGAGCAGGCTCACCTGGCGCCAGGACAATGGGTTCGGGCTCCCCCTGGTTTCCATAGTAGCAGAAGACATCTCCCTTCTCTGTGCTGTGAACAGGAGGGCAGAGAGGGTCATACAGGGGCCACGGATCGTGCAGACCCGTCGCTGTCTGGCAATCGCCACAGCCCTATCCCCATGGGGTCCCAGAGCGCTCCAGGGCCACTGCCAGCTGTGCTTGCACCTTCCTTCTCCGGCCTGGGGCACCTCTGCCTCCCAGCGAGCAGTGCAAGTGAGGCATGGTCCCAAAGCAGGGGGCTCCTCAGCCATAGGCACGGACGGGAGAGGACCTGGGTCCGAGGGGCGGGTGTCGGCAGGGGGCATGCCCTGTACTAGGACAGCGCCCGGCAGTCATGCTCCAGTTCCCCGATGGCAGGAGCCAACAGCCCCCACACCGTCACAGGGAGCCCCACTGCAAAGCTCTACTTCCCAGGTCCCCACGGCAGTGGGTCTGGGAGGGGCTCAGCCCTCAGGACGTTCACCAAGCCGACTAAGAGAGGCTGCCCCAGATGCCACGGCACCCGAGCTGAGCAGCGGGGCAGGCACCCTACTCCCTGCTGAGTCCAGTCCCAGTCCTGTGGGGGCACTCGGTGGGCTGCCACCACCCCCCCCCTGGCCCCCGCCAGCAGACTCACCTCAGGTCGGCTGCTAAGAGGTTGAAGCCATTGTACAGGTGACCCTCTGTGGAGACCTTCTTCAAGTAGGAAAAACTGTCCATGTCTGCGGTCAGAAAGTGGGCCACCAGTTCACCTGTGAGCAGGGAACAGACATGGCTGAGGCAGCAGGCTTAGCCCCCTCCCTGGGGAGAAGGATGGCCCCGCGTGGGCTGGCTACACCTCACTGACCCCACAGCCAAGGAGGTCGGCATAGAGGATTCTGCTTTTATTGGTTAAAAAAAAGTTTTCCGCCGAAACCGGTTTGGCTCAGTGGATAGAGCGTCGGCCTGCGGACTGAAAGGTCCCAGGTTCGATTCCGGTCAAGGGCATGTACCTGGGTTGCGGGCACATCCCCAGTGGGAGATGTGCAGGAGGCAGCTGATCGATGTTTCTCTCTCATCGATGTTTCTAAGTCTCTATCCCTCTCCCTTCCTCTCTGTAAAAAAATCAATAAAATATATTTAAAAAAAAAAAAGTTTTCCTCCATTATGCCCCCATATGGAAGTCCAGCATGAGGGGGAACGTCTTTAGTAGGGACAACATGTGTCCCGGGAACTATCCTCCCACGGGCATCTGCTCTGCAAACATTGAACAGGGGGGACAATGACACATAGCCAGAGGGACACATTGCCTGGGGACAAGTCTGAAACATATTCCCTGAGAGGCGTGAAAGGTCAGTGTCATGTGGGCCAGACCAAGGGTGGTGCCCACAGTGACTGCCAGCCAGTGGATTACCGGACCCAGGAAACACGCCCTCTCCCCCATTCCAGCTCCTCCTCCTGCCTCTGCACATGCCCAAGGAAGCCCCCACCCCGAGGCCCACCCGAGGCCAGCCCCCGCTCCTCTAAGCTAGCCCCCAGCACCCCTCCCCCGCCCCATGGTACCTCGGCCCCTCGCATCTGGGTCCTGCCGCGGCTGCAGGTAGTTGGTGAGCGCTGCCAGCTTCCCCCGAGTGCTGATGCCCAGCCATGTGCCTCCTTCCTTGCCTTCCTCCATGTCGAGCCCTGGACAGACGCCAACATCACCACTAGCAGTACCCACCCTCTCCCTGTGTCCTGGGCAGTCGAACCTCAGTCCCACAGCCCTGGCTGTGGAACGGGGGATCTGAGTCCACAGGGCGGGGCAAGACACTGGAAAGATGCCCTCCCCATGCTCCACCCCTCAGGCCAACTGATGCCAACAGCATCCTGGAGCTTGGGTTGGCACTGGGCTGGGAGCAGAGCACCAGCTCCATCGCGGGAACCTCATCCCGCATCTGGTGCAAGGGTGGCTGGCTGTCCTCCTCCGGCAGAAAGCACAGGACCCTCACAGCGAGAGCTTCATTGGGAGCCCGGTGCACATCCAGGCCTGCAGCGCACCCACCCACTACCTGTTCCATTGACTTTGGTGTGTTTGCCCCTAAGCTGCGTGCAGCACCCACTGGGCTCACCCAGCCTGTGCTGCAGCTGGGCCTCCCTTCCACCAGGCAGGTGCTCCTTCTCAGCATGCCAGGGGCCTCCTCCAAATCACTACAAAGGATGAACAATTCGGAGTGGCTGGAGCTTCCCAGCCAGGACTGGCACTGATTCAGGGGCAGGGTGCTGGCCCAGGTGCCAGGGTAGGGTGGAGCCCAGGTGGCCAGGATGGCCCAGGTAGCCTAACCTTTCATCCAATCCTCATCTACAGGAATCCTGGAGAGGTGCCTCCTGCCCCGCTACCCCAAGGCAACAGCCCCTCACCCCACTCATCCCGAAAAGCCCCCCTCAACACACACACACACACACACACACACACACACACACACACTTCAGCCTCCTTGTGTGCAGCAGCGACACATACAGCCTGCCCTATCTCCCTTCTGTTCTATCCTAGCCCAAGAGGGCTGGGACCCAGCCTCTCCTCCCTCTTGCACTCAGTCATCTTGAGTCCCCACTCCCAGCCTCTCGGCAGCTTTGCCCACCACCTCCGAGACCTCCTGCCCAGGACAGCGCCCTGCCCTGGTCCCCCCACTCCTGTCCTCCTGTCACCCAGCACCAGGATGGTCTAGCAGTGCTTCCCTCGCACCATTGCCCAACCATCGTCTACACAGGAAGCTCCATAGCTGAGCCTTTAGACACTGCAGGCGGAGCAGAGCACACGCTGCCTCCCTGGGCCCACGAGGGCACCCTGCCCAGCACACTGGGCACCGTGTCAACTCTGCCAGGCTCCCTTGTGCTTGCCTGGCACCTGGCTCCCAGGCAATGGGACTCCTGGCCTAGCCAACACCTGTCTGCATGCCCTCCAAGTCAACCCCTGCCCACCCCATGAGCAGGAACTTCTCCCTGTCCAAGTGGCTCAGGGAGGCTGTGGGCTGGGTGGGCAGGGGACCTGGCTGTCACCTTCACTTCTCCTCCACAGGAACCCCTCGTGAGGCTCCCACCCAAAGGTGCCCCAACCAAACCTCTGCTCCCCAAATTCAGACCAGCTCTCACTGGACCAAGGGTGCTTGTATGTAAACAGAAACGTGTGCAGAGATAAGCACGTGTGTGTGCATACATATGTGCGTGCGCGCACACACACACACACACAACAGTGATGCTGCAGAGTGACAGAGGGTGGACTTGCACCCACACACCAATACAACTGCATGTCCACAGGGAACATGTGGATCCAAATAAAACCAACGGATCCTTCCAGCTACCTCTTCTGGGGACCCACGACACATGAAGCCACAGGGACAGTGCTGGGTGGACAATTCTGGGGCTGGCCAGCCCAACACTGTCCCGGGACCGAGACTTTGGAGCCGACCCCATTAGACCCATCAGTGTCCACTTATTCATTCCGAACGTACACGGGGAAGCAGCACCGTAACTGCTAGAACCGTCTGGGGCTGGCGCTTCCTGCCACGCTGTGGCCACCCACCACGAGGAAAGACTCACCACTGAGGATCTCATTGTTGTTGCCCCAGAATTCTGCCACCTTGGATGGCCTGTGGTAGAATTCATCCCTGTTGGATGCCAGGATGAGCCTGAAGAAGAAAGCACGACTGAGACTCTCGGGTCAAAACAGAGAAGCCACGGTCTTCTCTCTCTAGTTAACAAGGAAAACTGGCCTCAGTAACAACATGGGCAAGTCCCAAAGACAACAGGAACCCGCACCCTGACCGCATTACCCAGACCTCTCCCGGCAACACAGACCAGCCAGTGCAAGTGGGGCTCCCACACCCCAATTCCGCTGCCCCCTGGTCCTCTGTCAGCCCACAGGGATGTGCCGCTGCCGGGGCCCACTTCACTCCTCCGTCCCGCCCACGCAGGCATCTTTAGAGGCCGAGTCTTAGTGTATTTGTACAATCTGTACATCGGCTCAGGGTCTTTACCGCATTCCCTCCAGCATTCCCTCCAGGGGCATTCCCTCCAGCGCCCATGCTGAGTGACCACGGTCCGAGAGGCACTGCCAGGCCTGAGCAGCTCGTCCCAGGGCTGCCCTCCTCCCGCCGGGGCAGCAGCAGCATGCCTCTCCTGCCTGGGCCACCTACATGGCTACTGTGGCCTGTGGGGCACCCGAGGCTGAGCAGATGGCGGCAGACTCAGAGTGAGGGGTTACCTGTACGCATTTTTGGAAACAGGGCGAGGATCGAACTTAAAGAAGATGATGCACATCGGTCCCTGAGGGTGGCTTTGCTCACACAGGGTTACACAGTCTGTGGGAAAAGGAAAAAAGAAAATGATTTGAATAACCAGCAGACAACAGATCCACCGTCCCAAACCTGCAATGTTCTTTGAACAGAACCAGCTCTGTAACGCCCCTGGCCTTCCCTAGACATGCCAGAGTCATGTGCCCAACACCATGACGCTCACCAGCGCTGCACAGCCATCTCCCTGCCAGCACCCCACGGGCAGGTGGGCGGGCAGCAGGGGCTACAGCCATAGAGTATAAAACAGCCATGGAGGGGCGAAGGCCCAAGGCTGTCAGCTGAGAGCCACTCTGAGGCTGCCTAGCTCCTGGGGCCTTCTTGTGGACAATGCCAGGGTGCTCCCACCACTCCACTCCCTTCTGCTTACTGGTCTGACTGGGGTGAGAGGTGGGGGGAAGGACTGACTCCACCACTATCTCCACTGGTTCCCACAAGCCCTGGAGGGACCCCCAGGACTTGGCCCCCTGGCCCCTTCAGGCATGGGCAAAGGTAAGGGCCACAGGGGAGCTACCTTTGCCCTCAGTAAAGCCTGTAGCTATGTGAGGTGTCGCCATGGTGACTAGCAGAAGTGCAAGGTGCTAGGGGGTGTACAGCCATAGGCGATGGGCTGCTGGCCACCAGCCCGAGCTGACAGGAGCGGGCTGGGTTCCCATCTGTGGGCACCCTGACCATCCCAATATTTGTGGGCAGCCTGATGGAACCAACATTCTTGGTAAAAACTCAAAATGCTTGAGAGAATGTGAAAACATCTTAAAAGCAGCCAAGAGCTAACTGGTCATGCAGACTTTAGGCAACATCTTGGAGAATGTAGGAATTCAGAGATGGGAAAAACAGAGATTGGAGCATTCCTGCCCTGGGGCACTGACTCATCCAGGCAAACCTGGCTCTGGTGACCCTGGGAGAGAGGGACAGAAGACAAAACCCAGGACTGCCTCAAGACAGGACCTCGTAGGAAACCCCTTTGGAACCCCGAGGAGCAACATTCAGAGGGCGAGGGTGGGCTATAGCCACAGCCACCGGGGGCGGCAGGGACAGCCTACAAGGGAGGGAGTCCTTGAGGGGCTCCGAGAATGGAGCCAGGGCCACCGCAGGGGTCCAGGAACCCTCACGCCAAGACGTGGTTTGAGGAGTCCCACACTGGCAGTGCCCCCGGGCACCTAGCAAACCAAAATTCTCATCTTCACCCCCAGACCTCCAAGAAGTCTCACAAATAATTTCTAGGACAAAGCAGTACACAGTCAGAAAGAACCGCCTAACAGAGCAAAGCACCAAGTACAAGAACCAGCAGAAAGAGATCCCCGCACGTCTCGTAAACTCACCACACTCTCATCGCAGAAAACAGGGAGCTTGGGAATATCCACAGAGAAAAAGGGGTTCACGAAGCACCAGAAAGAACTTTCCCAAGTGGGAGGTATAGATAACCACGAACTACAACTCAGCAGTGGATTTAACTGCAGGTTAGACACAGCTTATGATGAGTCAGCAGAATCATCCAGGACATGGTGCAGAGATAGGAAGCATGCTGGGCCTCCCAGGACCCCACGTGCCCCACCCACCAGGCACAGCTGACAGGGTTCCCAGCATTGCCACCTGATCCTAGTCTGACACAGAAGACACAAGTCTCCTCACCCCAGAGGAGCTGGTCTCTCTCAGGCATAAGCATGCTCCAAGCAAGGCCGGCTGGCGGTGTCTGTGGCACCCAGGCTGCCTCGGTCAGTGTGGTAGGAACCCTGCCAATCCATCCCTGCCGGAATCCCACTGGTCCAGAGCCCCCCGGGACGAAGGGCTATTCTGAAGGCTGTTCCACTAAGGATGTGCCACTCTGGACTGTCAGAGGAGGAGGCCATCATGTCTCCCTGGACCTACTGTGTCCCTCCCTGAGCTGCGTGCCTGGCCACTAGGTGAGGCCACTGGCAAAGGGCAGGTCTGGCCACTGATGCTCACAGGCCATATAGAGACTCGGCTGCAGGACCCCGCTGTCCTAGCTGGTTCAAGGGAGTGGCAGATCAGCCTCCAGGTGTAGCAGGGAGGGTTCTGTGGTCTAAGGAAAGGCCGCCAATGGATCTCCAGGCAGCCTTCTGCCAGAGGTGTGGGCACAGAGAGCCCAGGGCTGCAGCCTCGATGAAAACGCAGTCATTGGGAGGGAAGGACCAGAGGAAAGCCAGCCCCTGGGGAGGGGACCATCAGGAACTGCCTTTCTCTCCAATCCCTCACCCCCCCACTCAGCCAGGCCCGCTGCCCACAGGCCCCTCCCCTTCTTCGCTTCACTGCCCACCTGCAGCTGGCGGGGATCCACATGTGTAGAGCAGGGCTAGCGCTTCCCACATGCACCGGAAGTCCCTGCGTGCACCCTGAAGTGTGAAGCGAAAGGAAAACGCCCTCTTCAAACCGAAGCCAAGAGCTTCCCATCCTATCTAAGAAAGCCAGTGGAAGTCTTCCCAGCTCACAGCGCGGCGAATCTGGCTTTGCCCCGGTCTCACCACCTGGTGATTCTGACGCACAGGAAGAATGGGTCTCGGGTTTGGCGCGGGTGCTGGCTACAGAGCACAGAAGCTTTCTAGGCACTCACAGCCCATCTGCTGACAGCGCTTTTGAGAGTTCTGGCCAGCTTCGTCCTGCTGCTCACTCCCTGCCTCTGAATCACCCACTCCAGCTGGCGCTTCCTTCCTCCTCTCCTGCCTCAAGGAGGACCAACAGGGCTGTTTCCAACAGCCAAGTGGAGCCAGGTAAACTGCCTCTGTCAGAAGGCTCAGGCTCTTCAGCGAGTCAAGCTTCAAGCCTGACTCCGTGTGGCATCTCACAAGAGCACAATGAGAAAATGACAGGCAGGCAGGCCTGGCCAAATCAGGTCAGAGTAACATGCCAAGAGATGCAGCGATGACTGCAGTGGCTCAGGCAAGGGCCACAGGGAACATAACCTGGCACCGTGATGGACTGGTCCACAGCTTGCTGACCAACAGTGAGGATCTGCTTCCCTGCTCCCCCCGTACTCTCCACCCCCCCGCCCCAGCACATACAGGTGGGTGAAAGGCAAAGTGAGCCATTGACCTCATGGAGGCCACTGGGAGAGGAGGCAAGAGGGGCCGGAGGGCCATCGAGAAGGCCTCATTGTCACTGCCAGCCCGGATGGAAAAGGACCCAGCAGGGGGACTGGCAGGCCTCAGCACTGCTGGGGGTGGTCCAGTCCCTACCTGGCTGCCCGCCTCATCTTGCGGGGCGGCTAACAGCATAATGCACTGACTGCTGCCACCCACCCAGTGCCCACCAGCACCACCTCCTGCAGCGTTTGCACCAAGGGTGTCTCCCTTCCCCTTCCTTCCAGCACACCTGTCCTCTCACACCCGAGGCAGGCTCATTGGCCCAGCCTCTCTGTACCCAAGCCCAAGGCTCCACACCTCCTGCTGGCACAACCAGCAGCTCCTGGGGGCCAGCGGGGTCTGTGGTTGTGGTTCCCACTCCCAGGTCGCTCAGAAACACACTCTCGTGTGGAAAATTTCCCAACTCTGCACAGCCAGCAAAAGCCCCATCTCCAGTCAGCTGTGTGCTTTCACATCTTTCTCAGCAAAGTATGAGGCACAGGGCTATCTGACAGGTGGAATGTCATTGCCCATCTTCCTTCCCCATGACTGGCTATGCAGGAAACTGGACAAGAACAGACCTAGCCCTGGCTCAAAATGCCTCAAAATAGGGACCAAGCACTGCTGGGCTGCTGCGACTTCTGCACAATAACGAGCTGACACCAAAGTCACACCAGGTGTGGACGGGGGTTGGGGGTGGGGGTAGGGCCAGAGGGGAGAAGGGGACTTGCTCCCTGATTGGGATCACTTCCCTTTATCAACTAAAAAGGCAAGCAGGGCATCTGGTCGGTGGGGAGATACTAGGTCAGAATGGAGCAATGCATGGCAGAGACGCACGCCAGTGAATGACGAGGTATTTTTGCCACAACACAGAGCCAACGGGGCAAGACACTCAGGAAAGTGAATCTCCCAGTTCACATCAAATCAGCATAAAAAAAACAATCAGGCCCTAGCCAGTTTGGCTCAGTGGACAGAGCACTGGCCTGTGGACTGAAGGGTCCCGGGTTTGATTCCGGTCAAGGGCACATGCCCAGGTTGTGGGCTCCGTCCCCAGTGTGGGGCGTGCAGGGAGCAGTCCATCGGTGATTCTCTCTCATCATTGATGTTTCTATCTCTCTTTCCCTCTCCCTTCCTCTCTGAAGTCAATAAAAATAAATATTTTTTTAAAAAAACAGTGTTCTATCCAGCTGCACATGCTAAGGCTCTAGACAGAGGTTAACTGGTCCCTAGAGTCAGGTCCAATTTCATTACGCCGAGCACGTTACACATTTGGGAATACACTTTTAAGTCTAGCCAGCCTGTCTATCTAGTCTTGAGGAGCCGTGCAGAGGATGCGATTGCTCAGGCTTCACACATGATGGCTGCAGAGCCGGGCACCTCCTCCCGACCCAGTAACGGTTCCCAGGGGCAGAGCTGGAAAGCATAGGCTCGCTGCTCTTTTCACTTGCCGCCTGAAGTCCTCCTAGCAGTTGCCAGCAGAAGAGGTAAACACACATGGGTACACAGTGTCGCTGTTCCCAGGCCTTGGCTGAGAAAGCCCTGACGTCTGTAAATATTCTCAGCAGCCGGCCTGCTGCAGTGCTCCACCCTCCTCACCACTCGGGGACTGAGGACTCCTCGATCTACACTTTGTCGTTTCGACTGTTAAGTGGCATTTCACCATGACAAATGTCCTACAGTGATACGCTCTCCTAAGATCTTTGAGATGTTTTGGGAGCACTGATTCAGCCTCACACCACGTGTCATTGTCCCTTCACAGTTCAAAGGAGCAGCACAAAGGAGGGACAAAGGTGAGCACTGAGGAATGCTCCAGTCATGAGGTGGCCCCTGCACCTTGGCCTCTCCTGCAGGAACCCTCGCTTCCCCGCGAGCCAGCCAGGCCTCACAGTGGCCCCTGTGGCCTGCCTACATGGTTAACACAGGAGGAAGGGGCCACCTTTCCCCCAACCCTTCAAAAGAGGATGAAAGCAAGCACTAAAGTTGGCATGGTCCTGAAGACCTCAATAGATGAACCCAAGGAGAAACAGCCACCAGGAGATGGGGGTCGGTTTTTTACTTTTAAGTGCGCATATATTTTGCAATCTAAAAAGAAAGCTGCGCCGAAACCGGTTTGGCGCAGTGGATAGAGCGTCGGCCTGCAGACTGAAAGGTCCCAGGTTCGATTCCGGCATGTACCTTGGTTGCGGGCACATTCCCAGTGGGAGATGTGCAGGAGGCAGCTGATCGATGTTTCTCTCTCATCGATGTTTCTAACTCTCTCTCTCTCTCCCTTCCTCTCTGTAAAAAATCAATAAAATATATTTAAAAAAGAAAGAAAGAAAGAAAGCTGAGCCCGGCTCAATGGTTGAGTATCAGCCTACGAACCAGGAGGTCTCGGTTTGATTCCTGGTCAGGGCACATGCCCGGGGTTGGGGGCTCGATCCCCAGTGTGGGGCATGCAGGAGGCAGCTGATCAATGATTCTCTCTCATCATTGATGTTTCTATCTCTCCCTCTCCCTTCCTCTCTGAAACCAATAAAAATATATTTAAGTAAATAAATAAATAGAAAGTTGACAGAGAAAGGAAAAAGCTGCATTGATAATATGAAAGGGCAGCTCAGTAGTTCTGGGGTGGCCTATTTTCATAGAACCCATCATTGAACCGCACGGTCCAGACCAACGGATGCCAGGCTCTGCAGTGCTGTCCTCACGTGCCGACGGAAATGTTCGCGAAGGATGGACTCTGCTCTCGAACTGGAGCATCAGTGTCAACATAGCCCCGCTTCTAGAAGCCTCCCAGTTTCCCTGCCCCCGGGGCCTGTTTCTCTCCAGACAGGCTCTGGGGTCCCCTCATCCCCTCAGAGAGCCTGCCCTTTCTTACGGAGGCCTGGTCAGAGAACACAGCACACGGCTGCACCCATGGGGAAACGGCCAAAATGGGAGTCATCAAATGAAAACACGAAGGAAGCATGGGGCAGTAATAGCAGCTCAGGGGCTGGGCCGCCGAACAGAGGGGCTGGCCTATTGCCTGCGTTCAGGAAAGGACTATCATCACCACACGCTGGAGCAGGCAGTGGCCTGGTCTGAAGATCCTGCCAGTCTGTGGGCACATCAGAACAAGAAGCTGCAGGACTGGGGTATTAAATAGTCAGGGGCCTGAGGGTAGAAGCCCCAGAGCCAACCACCCTGTCCCATGGGAACACTGGGACCCTGGAGAACAGGGTTGGAGGCAGACAGAGGTTCTGCTGTGTCCACCTGCCTACACAACACAGCCATCCTCTCCAGTTGCCACCTGACAGGTCACGTGATGCAGGAAGGCTCCTGGGAGAGAGACCCAGAAGGAGCAGCGGCACCAGGAGCCAGCCCCGACTCTATGTGACCTTGGGAACGCCATCTGCCTCTCAGCCTGAGTTTTCTTCATTGTGAACAGTGTTTGGTCAATGAACACTTGCCCCAAAAGGTTGCCCAGAGGACCATCAAACAAGTGTGAGAAAGCACTTCCAAGGCACTGCCAGCTGGAGACACCTCTGACAGCTGCCACCACATCACGTCTGCCTCACCGAAGAGGGTGCTGAGCCCAAACAGCAGCAGCAAAACAGCGGTCAGCAGGTCTGGAGCAGGACAAGCCAGGCCTGTACCCCGCATGTGATATATCCGCTGGAGGATGAGGGCCTGAGGCTCAGGGACCCGCGCCCCCACCCCTGATGACCTGGGGGGAGGGTCTGACCCCCCAAAGCCACCCCAGGAAGGCCTTGTCCAGGCGAAAGGATAACCCAGCATTTGCTGCCTACTCAGACATGCATCAGCTGTCACCCCGCTGGCCCCGCGGCAGGACGCAAGGAGGCAGCAGCGTGACTCAGGGCTCCGTAGCTGACCGACACCGGGACCACGCAACTCCCAGCACCGACAGTCTCTGCTTCCCTGCAGCGAGACCAGCCCTGCCTGCCAGTAGCCCCCGCATCCCATCCTGGCGGGGATCCCTAGAAACGACTTTCAGTAACGGCGCGGGGCCGTTCGTCAGCCGGGGTTGGTTTGGTCTCCCCGGATCTGGCCGCTCGATTTCTACTCCACGCCTCAGGAAGGGGAAACTCAAGCAGGGCAGGGAGGTACCACCCCGCCCCTCCGCACCCGCGCCTCCAGAGCCCAGCGCCCCGAGCCCAGGCCCGCCCCGCAGGGAACTGAGCCCGCCAGCCCAGGCAGCCAGCCGCACACTCACCGCCTCCGCCGCTGCCGACTTCCGGGTGCCGCGTCCGCGCGCCGCCGCCACCGCCCAGGTCCCGCCTCTGACACCATTCGCGCGCTCGCCATTGGGTTGCCTGGAGAGGGGCGGGGCAGTGCACTACACCCTGGGGTACGGTTGGCTACCTGCGCTGTCGCTCGGGGACTGCAGCCTCCCGGCGCCCCGCCCCCAGAGCTGCGCCAAGACTCAGGTCTGCGCGTTGTCTGGGGACTTGTGATCCCCACGGCTTCCCAGCCTTCTACGCATCCCGGTCCTGGGGACGCCCGCGGGAGTTCACAGCTGCTTGCAGCCGCCCCCGAGCTCATGCCGGCGAGGACCCGTGGGGCCGCGGCCTGAGCTCCAGAAGCTTATGGGCCACCTATCCACCCGAAGGCTCGCTGGAAGCACTACAGGGATGCTCACTTCCGGACCCGCCTCTCAGGCTGGGTCCTTGTCGTCCTCTTCCCCACCCCCACCCCTAGGTCCATCCATTGTGGGCCTCTGGACCTGGCCATCCTCTCCCCTGTAATCCTGATACCCTGACATCCCTGCCATGTTCAGGACAGACCCTGGACTAGGCATCCCAGCCCCATCCCGCCACCATAGCCTATGGAGGCTGTTCTGCAGGCCCAGGCCCCAAGGATGAAGGGCTAGCCCCGCCTGATCTGTACTAGGTGAGCCAGTGAGCAAGAGGCCGGGAAAGGGCACTGAATGGGGCCTTCCCAACTGGACAAAAGCAATCACTGGGCTCCCTAGCCCCACTGCCTGGGGCACCTGAGTGTAAGGAAAGTGGAGAATCAGAGGCCTAGGGCAGCTTGCTCCAAAGTGGGCACTCAGCAAACTATGACAAGAATGACACTTATATTAAGGATAACAACAATGTGCTAACACTCTAAACCTAGTGTTTCAGTACACAGCTCTCATTCATCCCCTTTTACAGATGCAGACACCAAGACTCAGAGCAGTTAGTCACTGGCTTGAAGTTTAAAAACGGTGGTAAGTGGCAGTGGCTAGATCAGCTCCACAGCCCCGCATTGAAGACCTAGGTGCCTTGATCCTGACTCAGAGCACTGATGCCCTGTGGGAAACTGGAGCTCAGAAAGGGCAAGGGTAATCAGCAAAGGCAAGAGACAAACCCAAACCTGCATGGCATCCCCTAAGATCCATTGCACCCCACTCTTTTGCCATCTCATCTGTGTTCCCCCTGGAACCCTGCAAAAGCCCTTTGCAGACATGGGAACTGGGGACTTCAGGTGCCCACGGACATAGTCTTCCTTCCTGTTCTGTCACCACTGACTCCAGTCTGGATGACATGTGATGTTAGGGAGCAGGCAAGACCAATGAGATGGGTCACAGTGGACATCTGAGCCCTGAAGTCTCAGGGCTGCAAAGGGGCTCACTACCATCCCACTTGTAATTACACACATCCTGAGACAGGGAGCTCACTACCTGATGTGGCCATGGTTTTGGTGTCTGAACATCTGCAACTGCTGGAAAGCTCTTCCTGACATCTATCTAAACCTCTTCCTCCCTGTAGTTTTCCTCATGTGCCCCAGGGATGTCATTCAGAGATGGCCATTGGCTGAGAAGCGAGAGTGGGAGATAGAGAGGAGACTTGGTACTCAGTGAACGAGTGGTGGTGTCCATCTCTCCTGCTCTCTGACTTTCTGACCCTCACCTGCAGCTTGGGTCATGGTGGGCCCACTACTGGATAGTGGCCAAGTCCTCTTGGAACTGTGGTTGCCCACCCTGATCCTCTGTATGTGCTGGTGATCTAGTTCAGGAGCAGATGGGTCTTTGCAACCCTGTCAAGAATTAAGGGGGACAGAGGTGACTGCTTGGGCTGATTTAGGTGAATAATCTCAGCAGAAGTCTGTCCAGCCTCTTTTGCCACCATGAGCAAGTATATAGGGAAGAGGTGATGCTGGACCACAAGGTCACTGTAAAAAGAGGGGAAGGACCAGGGCCCAAGGCCCTTGGTGAGATCTATAGTGAATGTTGGACTAATTAAATCCACTCCTAAATGCCCCAGCCCATGTGGCAACTAGGCCAGAATGTCACTGATTATGTGGCTCCATGGGAAAAGAGCTATCTTGCTAAACAAGGCCTTTGTGTTCCAGAGAGGGACACTTCATTCTGCCTGCCCAGAGCTTTGAGCAACATCCTTGAGCCAGGATGCCAAATGGCTGTCCCCTTGATAAGGGTTAGCTAGCTAGCTTAATTAGGCAGACAGGAAGGGGGGCTGTCCAGGGAGGGTGCAGGCACTTCTGGCCTGAGCAATGAAAAGAGCCATAAGGTAGATTAAAAGCAACTCCAACCTGAACAGATAAGACGAGTATGTGAAGGGCACCACGTAGGCTTTGAGCTTTGAAACTAATACTATATAGCAGAATGACCAATGAGGAAAGTATGGGGTTCGAAAGGTCCAATTAGAAAGGGTCAGGTTCAGACAACTACAGCCTTTATAAACCCGGAGACAAAGAGACTCAGTAGATACAGATTCTAGATGTTTGGATTTATATTTTTCCCATTAGAGAGAGAGAGAGAGAGAGAGAGAGAGAGCAAGCTTTTCCCATTTGGGGGCCCCTCCCCAGGGGGACCCCTTTGGGGACACTCATGCCCAGATGGAGTTTGTATATACTTCCAATAAACTTCTATATTTTTTATTAAAGAAGCCTTTTTGTCCACAGGTTTATTCTTCAAACTTCATAGGGCCAGGACCCACGGGAGAAGAATCTGCACCCTGAACCCCACGTCACCCTTAAGTGCCAACTCCAGTTGATTGGTGGTGGCTGCCTGGCTCTGAAAGGCTTCTGGGATCAATTAGCCTTGTATGCCAAGGCACATGGGGACCCAACGGTGGTCCCAGTGGTGAGTTCTAACCTCAAGTCATTTCCCTTTCTTTGTTCTAAGAAACTATTGGGCGAACACTCTGGCCTCTGACATGAGTGGATAAGACACGAATGTCTGGTCCCTCCATTAGCAGTGTTGTGGGCAGCGTAGCTCCCTGGGTGGCCATGGGGAATATGGTGAGCTGAGGGTCTATCTGCTCATCCTCTCCAGGTGCAACCAGGACAGGAAAGGCCTAGAACCAAGAACGAGGCCTCTGAAACAATCCCCACTGGTGCCTCCCACACCACAGAGTTAAGGGGAGTTGGCCTAGGGCAGTGATGGCGAACCTTTTGAGCTCGGCGTGTCAGCATTTTGAAAAACCCTAACTTAACTCTGGTGCCGTGTCACATACAGAAATTTTTTGATCTTTGCAACCATAGTAAAACAAAGATTTATATTTTTGATATTTATTTTATATATTTAAATGCCATTTAACAAAGAAAAATCAACCAAAAAAATGAGTTCGCGTGTCATAGGTTTGCCATCACTGGCCTAGGGTGATAGTCCCATTCATGGTCACGTGCACCCTGTGTCACTGCAGGGACCAGGTGGCTGCTCTCTACCTGGCAGGGAAATACAACCTTTGCTAACCTCAACCCAGGTGGCAGAACCCCATAGTGTTCCTCTGCGAACCCAGGGAAGGGTGGAGGAAGTGGGACACCAGGGAAGGGGAGTAATAAAGGCACAGATTCCTCTGTGGCAGTGGGATGAGGGATGGGGTGGAAGATAGTCCTGAGTTGCGCCATAAGGTGGGCTGAGCCTGATGTATCTGAAGATTCAGGCCTGATAGTAGAGCAGCGGTTCTCAACCTGTGGGTCGCCACACCCCTTTGGCGGTTGAATGACCCTTTCACAGGGGTCGCCTAAGACCATCCTGCATATCAGATATTTACATTACGATTCATCACAGTAGCAACATGACCGTTATGAAGTAACAACGATAATAATTTTATGGTTAGGTCACAACATGAGGAACTGTATTTAAAGGGCCAGAAGGTTGAGAACCACTGTTAAGTAGAGGAAAACCCCTTGTTCAGCGAGGGGGTCCCTTCCCGCCCTGGAAACCCTGCAGGACATCACCCAGGACGGCCTCTCTAAGCCTGCTCCCTGCCTTTGCTGTGGGAACCCAGGGGAGATGAAGGCGGGGGAGCCCCCGGGCCCAGGTATCAGATGGGCCCCCGTGGCCTCTAGCAAGTGGGAACCTCTCTGAGTCTGTTTCCCAACCTGCAAACGGGGTGGGTGGTGGCAGCAGAACTCTCCCCCGCGGGCTGTGTGAGGAACATAATTCGGTGTGGACAGGAAAAGCGCTTGGCAAACAGCAGGTGCTAGCGAAGAATAGCTACGAAGTGGGGGTGGTGATGGGGACAACGCGGCCGGAATCCGGGGAGGGGGCGTTAGTCCTTCCAGCTCCTGCTCGGGGCCCGACGGCCCGGGGACGTCCTCGAAGGAGGGAAGGAGGGAGGGAACGGCCTCGCGGCCCCGACCGCCACCGCAGCAGCGGTCCCGGCAGGTGCCGGGCCTTCGCCGCTCTACAAGGGGACCGGTATCGGTCGGGACGGACATTAAGATGGCCCAATGGGAAGCTGGCGTCTCCCCGAGCCCGGCCAATCGGCGCCGGTTGCTGGGCCGCGCCGGGCCTCCGGACCAATGGGAAAATTTGCGGGCGGATGGGGCGGGGTGGAGAGCCGAGTAGCTGGCTGGGGCCGCTTTGCGCACGGGCCACGCGAGGGGCGCGCGGGCTGTCCCGGGGGCTGATTGCCGGGCCAGGAGGGTCAGCCCCCGCACGGCTCCCACTCGAGGCCCTGCGAACCGCCCCTTGCAGTGCGCCCTGGGGACGCCGCATCCCGCACGCTCAGGGACCTGGGGACACCCTTCTGGGGGCGGGGGCCGCGCTGCGGAGCCGCCCACGCCGAGCTCCAGGTAGGCTGGGCCGGAGGGCGGGGTCCGCAGGGAGCCAGAGGTTGGAGCTGTCAGTGAGGGCCCGGCAGGGGCTGGGTCGGGGCGGGGCCTTTGGCTGGGAGTCCAAGTCTGGACCGGGTCGGGCTGGGGATCGGAACCCAGCTCCGCCCCACCCGCACATTTGCGCCGCGGTGCGCGAGACCCTCGACTGGCGGGGACAGGTCCCTTTGTGCGTGGCCT